AGGTTTTTCCGAGCTTCTTATGAATTGCCTTCCAATTTTCAAAACTTTTCTGGTTTCCTCTGGGTATATTATTTGAATTTTTCCAAAATTTTCTAAAGTTTTCGCCAGAAGTTTCACAATATTTGTCTTGAAAGATCCTCATCGGATGTTTTTCCGACGTTTTTTAGAATGTCCTGCAAACTTCCTCAACAAGATCTTCTTTATTCTTTCGCTGGAAGTTTTTTCGGTATCATTAAGAGACTAATTCAAATATTCCCGGAAATTTCTTCCGACTTTACTACTTCGTTCTTAGTCAAAAAGTTTGAATTTTCGCCTACAAATAGGCAGAAATATAAAATTAATTAGAATAGTGAATACAGATAAATACCGATTTTTTAATCATTTGATACCGATAAGCTTGAAAACAATCTGGCAGCGCTGGTATCAGCTTACGCGTGTGAAAATTTTTGAGTTGCTTAAATAGAAAAAAAACATGCCCGTGGGACGTTCGTGACAATCACGTTTTTAAAAATATTAGGAAAGCGATGAAAATTGACAAAAATGATACTTGTGTGCCTCGTAGAAAAAATTTAATACCGTTAATAATCGATTTAAAAATGAATAGTGCAGTTTACAGTCGAACAAATATAAATCGGAGCTTATCAAACAATCTATCACCTATAGAAAAATGTCAACAAATTTGAAAGAATTAACAATATGCAACATTCATACGATGTTATATGGAAATGCCTGCAGTTGCCTGTTGATTTGTGGTCGTTATATTACCCAACAAGGTCTACACTAATCACTGTAATAAGGGGCTGTTCATAAACTACGTAGACATTTTTTTTGGGATTCTTGACCCCCCCGTCCCCCTGCGTGGACAATTGTCCATACAAAAATTTTAAATTTGTATGGGCCTTGGATAATTGTCAACCCCCCCCCCCCCTAAACTGTCTACGTAGTTTATGAACAGCCCCTAAATTGGCTGCTACTTTTCGCTATATTTTGAGTAATTGACATTTTTATGCATCACTTTTTTGAGACATTTATGTTAATAACTTTATAGTAAAGTAAGATATATAAAATAATGGGTATTTATTGGATGAGTCAAACCATTTTGATAATTAGCAGAGTACATTTGACGTACACACTTAAATTTTTTCACCGAGATTCCAACAGCCGAGTTGTTCTGCAATTTATTTTGCTGAGATTCAGTAAAACAATTGCCGAGACTCAGCTAACAAATAACATTTTACTGAGATATCAGCTAACAAACTGATATTTTGCAGAGATACCAGCAAAAGTTACTGCCGAAGTAATCGGCTGTTGGAGATTTTACCGATCTAGATTAAGTGTGTATATAGGTGAAAAAAGGGGAAAAACTCAATTTTAGAGGTTAGTTTTCCTAATTGCCCGATATCTCGCTTAATGTGAGTCATAGAGTTTCGATGGGTGGCAATGTTGCCAGTCCGGCAATAGCAAAGTGAAGAGGTGCGACGCGAACACTGGCGCGGTAACCATAGTACGGTGATAGAGGAAATGCTCCACCAAACCCGAGCGTCTGTTCACCATGGAGGTGCGGCTCAAAACGGCGTCTGTTCTCCATGTTAGGAGCGGCTGATCACCGTCCTAGTTCCAGCGTGGGACTCTAAACAGAGCTGTGCACGATGGTCCTCCGGCGAGACAGGGGGTTGGGGCAGGCCCAACAAGCCGCCCTGAAAAAAAAAACAAAATTGCAAATACTGAAGAAAGAAATATGGATCGGAACAATCGGCACAGACCTACGCGACGAAATAAGGACTACGATTGGAAACTCGGAACATGGAACTGCAAATCGCTCGGCTTCCCGGGTTGCGATAGGTTAATCTATGACGAACTTCAACCACGCAACTTCGAAGTCGTAGCACTGCAGGAACTTTGCTGGACGGGACTAAAGGTATGGAAAAGCGGTCATCGAGCGGCTACATTCTACCAGAGCTGTGGCACCACCAACGAGCTGGGAACCGGCTTTGTAGTGATGGGTAAGATGCGCCAACGCGTGATTGGTTGGCAGCCGATCAACGCGAGGATGTGCAAGTTGAGGATTAAGGGCCGTTTCTTCAACTACAGCATCATTAACGTACACTGCCCACACGAAGGGAGACCCGACGACGAGAAAGAAGCGTTCTATGCGCAGCTGGAGCAGGTGTACGATGACTGTTCGCAACGGGACGTTAAAATCGTCATCGGCGACATGAACGCTCAGGTAGGACGGGAGGCAATGTATAAAGGTGGTGTATAGGATGCTTTGTTGATTGTTCATTAACTCTTGATTGCTTGTAATACTTATGAATATTCTAGGTGGACAAAAAGGCGAACTAAGAGGTGGACGCCTAAGCTTTTTCACATTTATGTATATTGCTGTGAAGCAACTGTAAAGTCTAGAGGGAATTTATATCTGTAACTGTAACCAGCTCGTTTTTGTTTGCTAACCTGGTTAAAATGTTTATATTTAATTATCTTAAAGATAAATCGTCCAGCTCAAACCTTTGTAGGGGTAAGAGGTGGGACCATCATCATCATAACATAGACCGGCAATCGGGCCAAACAGCCTGCATGCCGTATCGAACGACAACGGCCAACGATGCGTGAACTTTGCAGCCTCTCGGGGTATGGTAGTTCGAAGTACCTTTTTCCCCCGCAAGGATATCCACAAAGCCACCTGGAGATCACCTGACCAACACACAGAAAACCAAATCACATTCTAATCGACGGGAAATTCTTCTCCGACATTATCAACGTCCGCACGTACCGCAGTGCGAACATAGATTCGGACCACTACCTAGTTGCAGTATGCATGCGCTCAAAACTCTCGACGGTGCATAACACACGTCGAAGTCGAACGCCGCGACCCAACATTGAGCAACTACGGGACGCCGGAGTTGCCCAGGACTACGCGCAGCAGCTGGAAGTTGCACTACCCACGGAAGAGCAGCTTGGCGCAGCTTCTCTTGAAGATGACTGGAGGGACATCCGTTCAGCCATAGGTAGTACTGCTGCAGCGGCACTAGGTGCTGCGATCTCGGACCGAAGAAATGACTGGTTTGACGGCGAATGCAAACTGTTAGTAGAGGAGAAGAATGCAGCACGGGCGAGAATGCTGCAACACCGCACGAGATTGAATGTGGAGCGATACAGACAAGCGCGAAACAGACAAAACTCGGTTTTCCGAAGGAAGAAGCGTCAGCAGAAAGACCGTGATCGCGAGGCGATGGAAAATCTGTACCGCGTAAACGACACACGGAAGTTCTACGAGAAGCTAAATAGTTCGCGCAAAGGCTACGTGCCGCAAGCCGATATGTGCAAGGACTTGGACGGTAACCTTCTCACGAACGAGTGTAAGGTGATTGAGAGGTGGAAGCAGTACTATGACGAGCACCTCAACGGTGAAGCAGCAGAAAACGAATGTGGCACGGCAACAGACCTTGGAGCACGTGCAGAAGACGACAGGCTACCGGCCCCTGATCTTCAAGAATTTCGGTCGGCTGAAGAACAACAAAGCAACTCGTGTAGATCAACTACCAAGTGAGCTATTAAAATACGGTGGTGAAGCACTGGCTAGAGCGCTGCACTGGGTAATTGCCAAGATTTGGGAGGAGGAGATACTACCGGAGGAGTGGATGGAAGGTGTCGTATGCCCAATCTACAAAAAGGGCGACAAGTTGGATTTCTGCAACTACCGCGCGATCACACTGCTGAGCGCCGCCTACAAGGTACTCTCCCAAATTCTATGCCGCCGTCTGTCACCATATGCAAGAGAGTTCGTGGGGCAATACCAGGCGGGATTTATGGGTGCCCGCGCTACCACGGACCAAATTTTCGCGATTTGGCAGATTCTACAGAAATGCCGCGAATACAACGTGCCCACACATCATTTGTTCATCGATTTCAAATCCGCATACGACACAATCGATCGAGATCAGCTATGGCAGATTATGCACGAGTACGGATTTCCGGATAAATTGACACGATTGGTCAAGGCGACGATGGATCGAGTGATGTGCGTTGTTCGAGTATCGGGAACACTCTCGAGTCCCTTTGAATCTCGAAGGGGGTTACGGCAGGGTGATGGAGTTTCGTGTCTGCTGTTCAACATCGCGTTAGAAGATGTGATCAGAAGAGCTGGGATAGACACGAGTGGCACGATATTCAGGAAGTCCATCCAGCTCCTTGGTTTCGCCGATGACATTGACATTATGGCACGGAACTTTGAGATGATGGCGGAAACGTACATCAGACTGAAGGCTGAAGCTAGACGGATTGGACTTGCCATCAACGCATCAAAGACAAAATATATGAAAGCAAGAGGTTCTAGGAAAGACAATGTTAGCCTCCCACCCCGAGTTCAGATTGACGGTGACGAAATCGAGGTGGTCGATGAGTTCGTGTATTTGGGCTCACTGGTGACCGCCGAAAATGATACCAGCAGAGAAATTCAAAGACGCATTATGGCAGGGAATCGTGCCTACTTTGGACTCCGGAGGACGCTCCGGTCGAATAAAATTCGCCGCCGCACGAAGTTGACTGTCTACAAGACGCTGATTAGACCGGTGGTCCTTTACGGCCACGAGACCTGGACTATGCTCGTGGAGGATCAACGCGCCCTTGGTGTTTTCGAACGGAAGGTGTTGCGTACCATCTACGGTGGAGTGTAGATGGAGGAGGCGAATGAACTACGAATTGCACCAGCTGCTGGGAGAACCATCCATCGTCCACATCGCAAAAATTGGGCGACTACGGTGGGCTGGGCACGTCGTAAGAATGCCGCACGACGACCCAGTGAAAATGGTTCTAGAAAGCGACCCAACAGGAACACGAATGGCTTCGCTGCCCCACTGTGCACCGCAGGATATTTCGGTAGTTTTAGCCACACTGAAACAAGTCAACCAGTTCAGCTGGATTAAATTTATTTGAATCTTCACATTTTGATCTGATCATTTTAAATATGCACTTTACATTTCCTTCATCTTGTAGTAGAGTTCTTGTGTTTTTTTCTTCTTCTAATTTTAGGTAGTTATCATTATTAATGCAATATATATTACTCTATATACTCATCAGCGACCAAGTGAATGAAACTGTTGTTGGTATATTGCAATTTAATGCTCATTGTTTTGCGTTTTTTTTTTTCATCTCTTCATTTTGAATTTATAGTAAATGTAGGTTTTCATCTCTCACTTAACGTAAACTAGTAAATCTATGCGTGTGTGATTTTTTGTTTTTGTTGGTTTTCTGTTTTCATCTCATGCCTAAGCTAAGGTTCGCTATCAATTTGTAAATAAATCCTCTTATCCACAAGTTTGTGAATTTGCACTTCCACTTTCCTTCTTTCTGGGTACGATCTTTTTAGTTCAATCAATCGATTAATTTTATACCTCACTTTGATTCGTTTTCATTTTTTTTTAGATTAATAGTTTTATCATTTATGTGAGTTGTTATCATCTTCAACAAGGACGATACATATGTATAAATAGATGCAGCAGGCAATTTCATTGTGTTTAATTTGCAAGTTTCATTTGGAAGGAAGGGCAATTTCTCAATTTATAGTGATAATGATAAATGTGGAAAAAAGACTATCTGTAAAACTAGATGCCTACGTTTTGTGATAGGACGGGTGTATTTGTAGGACTTGACCAGTCCGAGATGTCAGTGTTGAAAGCATGTTGGTGTGTGTTTGTGTGTGTGTTGGTGTGGTTTGTCAAATTATAACGATAACAAACAACCATCTATCAATGACTGAAAATAGTTGCTCAAGTTGTGATTAAAGACAAACAAGGAAAATGTTAACTAATAATAGCTACGGTAGTGAATTGAATTAATAAATAGTCACACAAAAACGGAAGGTATAACATTAAAAACAAAAGAAAACATTGCTTAAAATACTGTTTTTATAGTAGTGACATCTACGTTACTGTTGTGAACTACCCAACTGGTAATCAGAAATGAGAGAAAATGCTAAAACCTACGTTTGTTTCTTTTAAATCTGTTTATATTACTATTTAATAATCTATAATATTTTGTTTCCAATGCGTTGATTTGATATATTGTTGCTTGAATGTACTTTCATTTCACTGTGAGTTCTTTTGTGTTTTAGTTGCAGTTTGCACTTTTCCATTGATTTCGCTTTACAGCTTAGCGGATAAATATGCACATTTATTATTAGTTTGCTTTATTAGCCATCTATTACTGCCAATTGCCTTTCTGTATGTTTTCCCGCTTCTAATTTGCTTCCAATTTTGGGTTTGAACGAATCGAATTTTCAGGTAAGGTTTTCATAGTTTTTTTTGTATTTCCTCTCGAATATAAATATGAAGTAATTATTTTCACACATCAATAATATCAAAATATTGACCAATGTCCCCCCATTGGAAAGAGAAGGACACCTCTCTAATATTAAACTTTACAAGGACGACATTAATAAATGTTAGCAAAAATAAATAATCTTCTCTTTTCTTCACAATCCTACATTCCGTATTTTTTTTACAACTCCCAACGACTCGGCCACTTGCAGCGGCGACGAGGAGTTCGTGCTGCGTGTTGGTCTAACTTGAACTTTCTAAACTTCGTCGGTACAGTTTCCGCTTGTATTGAAGCAAAGCAAATATTAAAAAAAAATACAGTAGCAACCACCTGTAAGGTAAAAGCAAGTGCCGCCATCTATGTCTCGTGCATTCACACATGATATCAAGATGGCAGTATCAACTTTAGATCATAAACAGAGGCTGATACGGTATTCTCTGCAGGTAGATAGGCACCATTAAAACTAAGAGCCGACATAATGATCACTGAGACAGACGTCCTTAAAACATCTACTAAAACTTAGTAGATAGAACTGCTTGTAACTTAATGCCGATATCGAATCGATAAAATGTGTGTGTAATCTGAATTTGCACCTTATCAACCTGATTTTATCCATGCAAAAAGTTACACGATAAGAATGCGACGAAAACAATTTTACTCACGATAAATACACAATTAAAAGTTACGAAACCCTTGCGTAATAACTTAGTTGCAAAGTTAAAACAAAGTTTCTGTTAAACTGGATGCGCAGTGGCAATATCGTTTTCTAGACTTTGTTCCTCACGATTGGGGTCAATTTTCTTTTTTGGCCACATAAAATTGAAACATTTTCAACATTCTTATCACTTACCTGCGAATCCTACACATAAACATCGATAGCTAACTCGGACTGTAGGCTTGCTTTGCCTATATCTATGCACACGAAAAGCACGAAGCACACTTAGCGCTTTAGTTCCGACGTTCTTCGTTCATGAACTCATCGACGATCGCATTGATCGAGGGTTTGGCATCCGGTTTCCCATCGACTACCTCGGTCACCGTGACGGTTCGGGTTTCTTTGACTACTTCCGGTACGCCGGATTGCTGCAGCATCTGCAATAGCTCATCCTCAGGGAAGTCGGCATCGGTCGACGTCAGCGTGATGGTATTGGTTGTGGTCTTGGTCGTTGTCGTCGTTTTCGTAGAGTGATTCGGTGAACCCGACTCTTGGTCGGCGTCGTCGTCTTCGTCGTCGCTGGCTGAGGTTACCATTGTGGTTACCACGGTGTTGCATTGCTCACTCGCTCCGGCGGCGGTTGCTGCCAACTGCATTTGCTCCAGCAATTGCCGCTGCAGGTCCTCCGGGAGCTGATCCGTGGTTGCGTTGATGGTGGTGGTCGTTGTGATCACAGTTGTGCGTACGGTACTGTGGAAAAGAAGAACACGATGCATTGTAATAGTTTGAATGGTACGGGTCTTTTAAAACCGGACTGTAGATTTTATGGAGGCTTCTTGGAAATCTTGAATCTGTCCAAAGTTTGCCGTAGCCCATCGCAGTTTGGGACTCAGTGCTGCATTATTTCATCAATATTACGTGACAACTGACGTGCTACATTTCTCGATTCTCACTGACGAAACCCCAATTGAAATACTGACTGACAAAATATGATGCGTCATAATGCATCGAACAAAGTACACAACTATTGATCGATTTAATTAAAAGCGAATTTCGTCATACATTCTCATGACGGTTTTCCACCTACCCATAAATTTGAAAGCTGCTCGCTGTCGCCGGTAACTGCAATTGGGTTCTTTAAGGATATTGAGGTAAATGCATATTCGTAATCTGCATTAAAACTGGAACCCAAACCCAAAATTTCATCAATTTTGGTACACTGGAACTATTTTAAATAAGAACGATAACATTTGCAAAAATCACCTTATTAGCGCCCCTCGGTGTCACTTTGTATGGTAGCGAGCTGTCAGTTTGTTAGTTTAGTGTCAAACAGTGAAGTTATTATTCTGCTGTAAATCTTGATGTCGGTGCTATCTTCACCATCTGACGTGACTTCAGCTGAATCCAACCACCAAGGCAACAACATTGCAGCTGTTCAGTACAAAACGACTAGAATAGCTAGGTAGAAGGTTCGATGTTTTGTGTAGAGTTTCTCTTGATGTCTTTTGTTATATGTCCTTATCACTTGTAATCATGTGTGTTAGTGTAGAGAAGAGAGCATTTTTACAGTCTGACCCGACCACAGACTCTCTAGGGCAAGCTAGGTAAGGAGGGTGAACAAACTGCCAACTAGGCTTTTGACCACCGCACGATACGGTCGTTTCTGTGTAGTCCACGCGTTTAATTTATAGTTCGTCCGAGTGATCCGAATTCCCCCGTTTTCTGTGGCCATATTCCACGCCGCGTGTGCAGCTTATCGAAGAGCGAATATATAAAAGTGGTCCTTCGAGCCGGATGTTACCTTCCGGTGATGTTCTGGACTGGACAATTGGACAATTTCCCTGACGGTGACCACTGAAAACGTGGGGTTCGGACGTGTGCATTGTGTGATTGTGAAATGAACGCTGGACATTGTGCGCCTATTGTGTGATTGTACTATTCTGTACGATTGATTTGCATGAACAAAAGAACGATTTGATACGAATCGAACAAAATCGAAAACGCAAGATCGAAAAGTGGCCTACGGGCAAATTAATTGTTCACTCATCATACAGAGAGTGGGATATCGTGCTGTGAAGGTCTAAGGCCTGCGGTGTTGTGTGCCATTGATGAGTTCCAGCTGGATCGCCTCGTGGTTTGATCGCTGATGCCCTTCATGCTTTTCAGGTCGGTCCTAGGTGGAATCGGTAAGGTTAGTGTCGTATCCGAGGTCGTATCCCACGTTGAAACGCACGTCCTGCTTTCATGAAATAAGCACACAGAATGAATCCAATTCGCATCTCAGTTATGTGACCGAACATTCCGGAAATGCTGCCAAAACGCATAGGCTTTGCGTTAATTACATGCCTGGTTGCCAAATATGATACAGTGAGCGTTTGGGTTGTGCTTACATTTAACCGTGTTGTTATTTTTTATTTAAATATTCAATTCTGTATAATAAATATGTACCTGGTTTTATCTACAATATATTTTAGAGTTCAACTACGATTTCTGTATCACTACAGTTAGAAATCAGGTAAGATCGTGCAAGTGGGTGCGTTGTTTCCGGGAGTAACTATTAGCCAACAATGGCGGCCGAGAGAAGGATTCTCGTTACTTCTTACTCTCGCATGGTGGATAGTATTGAGTCCCGTGCTGAGAAGTTGCTAATTTTGTGCGTTCTTTTGATCCCGAGAAGCAAGAAAAATCTCTTCTCGAAGACAAGCTTCAGTCAGTTGAAGAAATGCGTTCCCACCTTCATGAGACAGAGGTCAAGCTTTATGGGATAATCAAGGAAGATGAGGTTGAATCGTGGCAAATGACGAGTGAAAAGTTGGAGGACATGTTTGATGAAACGCGTCGTCTCATTCGGGACAAGCTTCGAGAAATTGATCCTCCGAAGCCCGTTTCAGCACCAGTTGTGGCTTCTACTTCTCAACCATCGCATCCCAAACTGCCAGACATTCCTCTTCCTCGATTCAACGGTCAACTAGAAGATTGGATTAGCTTCAAAAATCAGTTTTGTGCCCTTGTTAAGCGTCGTGAAGGTCTTTCGGAAAGCGAGAAGCTGTTCTACCTCAAGGCTGCCATCCAAGATGGTGCCACTCGCCATGTTCAACCGACCGAAGATTCCTTTTCGTCCCTTTGGAAAGCCCTTTGTTCGGAGTTCGAGAATAAAAGGATCCTTGTCGACAAGCACATTACCCAATTGTTCCACTTGAAGCCCATTGTTCGCGAGTCTGGTTCTGCGTTGCGATGCTTGCTAAATGATGTCACTCGGCATATTCGAGCGTTAGCCAATTTCGAATTGAAGCTTGAACCATTATCGGAACAATTTTTAATCCACTTGACCTGTACTCGCCTAGATGCTCGCACTCGTAAGGACTTTGAGCTTCAATTGATCGACAATGCGCTACCGTCTTGGGAGAAATTGCTGGATTTTCTTCAGTCTCGATGCCGATGTCTGGAGAGCATTGAACAGGATGGAAAAGAACCAGGGTCCAGGCCAGAACGATCTGGATCACACGTCGTGAAAATCTATTCCGATAAATCAAACCCTCCAAAATCCAACTATGGAAATGTGACCTGCTTTGTTTGCAAGGGCTCACACTTTCTAAGTAGATGCGAGCAGTTTTTGAATCTCGCACCAAACGATCGTTTTGCAAAAATCAAGGGTTTGGGACTCTGCTTGAATTGTTTCAGTAATAAATACCACGTGCATGAATGCAAGGGTAGTTCATGTCGAAAATGTGGCCGTCGGCACCACACACTGCTTCACGAATCTGATTCTTCGTCGTCCACCACAAATGAGAATCGTCAACATTATGGACCAAGCTCGGGAAGTCGATCAACATCTTTTCCGTCTACTTCGTCGATCAATTCGTTAGTTGGGACTGTCGCTTTGTCGAACCCCCGAGCAAGTCAATACGTTCTCTACACTGCAGTAGGGTTAGTCGAGGACGCCCATGGAAACTCGATCAACTGCAGAATTTTACTCGATTGTGGGTCAATGCACAATCTGATCACCACAAATATTGTGAATGGGTTGAAGCTACCGAGATCAAATGCAAACGTCAGCATTGTAGGTGTTTCTGGGACACCACAAATAATCAAGAGCAAGGTCAGAGCAACGATCCGCTCTACCTTCATGTCCGATGCCTAATTCAACCTAGAGTTCCTGGTCATGAAAATGGTTACAACCGATTTATCGATACGATCATTTCAGGTAGATCCTGAGCGAATCCCAGCAGATGTAGTGCTGGCTGATCCTTCGTTCAATCGATCGCGACGAATCGATATGCTGTTGGGAATCCAAGTGTTCAACGAGCTATTCACTGGTCAAACATTTTCATTGACAGATGATCACACGTTCTGGTGTAAGGAGACCATTTTTGGATGGGTAGTTGGTGGTGCAGTAACCGAGCAGGAAGCAGAGCAGTCTTCCGTGAACCATTGTGGAGTTGTGACAAACGAAGCGTTGAGTGAGCAGATCAGCAAGTTCTGGGAAACTGAGGCAATTCCCGAACCACGTAAGATGACCGAAGAAGAGCTAGCTGCCGAACAAAGCTTCAAGGACACTTGCCGGAGACTTCCAGACGGACGGTACGAAGTTGGACTTCCGGTAAAGGAGAGCATCCGAGAGCTAGGCAACAGTGAGAAGATTCACAACCCGAACGTTTACGAGCAGTATCGAGCATTCATGGAAGACTACTATGGGCAAGGCCACATGATCAAGATCAATCAGGCAGTTGATAGCGCTTACTTCATGCCTCACCACGCGGTGTTCAATCCGGCGAGCACAACAACCAAAACACGAGTTGTGTTCGATGCGTCGGCCATCACAACAACAGGAACCTCCTTGAACGATCACCTCTACGTCGGTCCCGTGGTCCAAAGAAAGCTAGCTGACACTGTGCTGAGGTTCCGAATACCGAAGATCGCAACTGCTGACATTACGCAGACGTTCAGGCAGATTCTCATCAGGTTACTTGATCCATGTACCAGCTAATTTTCTGGCGTTCACATCCAGACGCTTTCTTAGAGGTGTACCAGTTGGCAACGGTAACCTATGGCACTGCTTGTGCACCCTTTCTGGCGACGCGAGTATTGGAGCAATTGTGCAAAGACGAGAATGAGCATTTCCCCTTAGCGTCGAAGGCGAGAACCGAAGATTTTTATATGGACGATCTTTGAAGTGGAGCTGATACTGTCGAAGAAGCATTAGCAATGCAAACAGAATTCATCGGAATGATGACCGCTGGTGGATTCGTGTTGCATAAATGGGCCTCTAACCATCCGGCGCTTCTGCAGTCTGTGCCAAATTCCAACACGGCATTCTTCGAGGACGAGAAGACAACTAGAACGTTAAACCTTGCGAAGAAAACCAGTGGCAATCATTGCAGATGAGACGAGTGATTGTGGCCACCACCAGCAGTTGGCGATTGTCATAGGAAACATTCGTGGGTGTGAGACAGGTGTTGAAAACAGACGCGACGATCATCTTCAATACTATTGCTGAGGTTCTGACAGCGATGCATATTTCTTGGGGGCACGTGATGGCTGGCAGCACTCCTGGAGTACAAGCCAAGTGCAAGGACAAAACCAACAATACACTTTTATGAAGAGCTTTGAGTGTGTTGGTATATTTTCTTTTAATTCCGTTGTAATTGCTTATCTTTTGACAGATACGCGTATCTAGGCGTGTAATATAAAGGTGACACAGTAGGAAAAAGTGTTAGTTTGTTTACTAAAATGAACTATGCCCATTTTGTTATGGCAATTTTTGCCATAAAAAATGCTCCTCATGTTTATTAGCGAAATTCACATCAAAGAATGATTAATTGCGTAGGAAATCAGTTTGGCACGGCATTTGTGACCAGCATACACCTTCCGGTCGTATTAAACAGGTCAAAAACAGTTCTAATCCGCCCATAAATTTATTTGTTTTTATTTTATGTATGGAAAAATAGTGAACTTTCCGTAAGTAAACATTAACGGCAAAGAAAACTCAACACCACTGATCAAGATTGGATTGATCAAGAGCAGTGATAGAGATTAAGCGATCATGATCCGATTTCTGTCCAGATCGTGATCTGTACAAACTACGACCAACGATTAGTCCTCCACCTTGAAAATACGTTATTGCATAGGCAACTCACATATAACAAATACATTGTTAGACTGAGTCAAGCTCAGAGAAGTGGGTTACTGTTTTCGCTCATTATATCGCAACATGTGCTTATTTCACGAGACGAGTCTCTCTGTGAGTCGCATTATTTTGGCAGTTTGAGGTTACAGAGCAATAGCGAATCGGTTTATTCCCAAGCTGGAAACAGTTTCAACCCAGTGCAAACCCGAACTTTTGGTCCGTGCGAAAGTTGACCCGTGCCAGGTTATAAAAACAAACGATCAAACTGACGTTTGCTAGAAAACATGCAGACCCTAACTTGATACCCAATCCAGGTTGGAATTGGATAAGCAGTGCTGATTATTAAATTCACGAATTGACAATCGGAAAGCTATGAAAAACAGCGCAGGGCCATTATGCTTCAGGAGTGCGTTTTTCACTCCACCGAAAGGACCAATGCCGTCAACGCGAATACATGCGTCTTTCCTAATTCACAGATTGAAAAAAGTTAAAAAAAAAAAATTATGATCATTATGGAAATGATCATGATCTAATCACGGTTGTTCATCAGTTGTACATAATCCGAACGACTTCTTGTACTCAGCTATAGGCATTGAGATCTATAGTTTGTAGCGTGCACTCACAACAAGCCTTGTGTAGTATAAGTAATGTGCCGTGAGTGCACACAGTAATGATGTTGTTATCGTTTCGCTCTCTTGAGATCTTGGTTAGGATTGGGCGATCCTGGATCGATCTTTGGAAGATCGATCTTTTTCACCCAGATTTCCGATTTTTTGGATCGATTCTTAGTTCTTGAAAGATCGAAAAAATCGATCTATTCTTTCGATCATTTCGATTAAAAAAAAAAATTCCACAGACACCACAGAATGCGTTGTAAATTTAACTAACATAACGTCAACATCAGCATCGCTCCCTACAATGACGTCACTATTTGCGTTTCCGATATTTATGAATACGGCAACATTTAATTGAATATTGTAAAAGAAAGTATTTCTTGGGGTACCAACGTAAACAAGCGTATTAATATCAAAATTAAAAGATCGATCTAATTACCAAAGATCGATTCTTTGGTACCGATTTCCGATTCTAGAGCCAAATATGTAACAACCCAACAAACAATTTGTGCTGATTAAGGGCTGAATAAGCTATTTTTTTAGCTGAACAAGCATATTTTTGCTCTTATTCCGCTTCCAATGTTTGTTGGGAAGTACGCTTTTCCATTGATTTATTTATATTTTTGCACAGAATTCCTAATCATACAATTTTCCACATTTAAGTATATTGCATGAACTTTCGTTTTTTTTTACAATGTACAAAGGGATGCTGCATAGAATGGTTACAGAGAAAGATGATGAAAATTGTTGTTTGAAAGGTCATTGAATTACTTCGGTAATTTGACGTACTTCCGGTCACGATGACCGTTGAATTCACACCTATCTGAGGGTTCTGGAACTTCTACTCGTTCACTTTGAATTGAACCGTGGAAGAGGCGGAAGTGCGAGTGGATAGTACTATTAAGCACAATCCGCACTTAGTATTTCTTAATCAAGCGCAGTATGTACCGCAGTACGGTATGTTATTATAACTGATGGCTTCCAAATTTATTTACCTTTCCGTATGTACCGTAAGATTTGATAAAGAGAAACCAATCGTTGAGATATTGTCAAAAGTCTAACACTGCTTCTTGACGCCAAACTCGGCCTACGGATTCTAAACTCGGCCTAACGCATTGAAACGCCAATGAATTCACTTCGGCCTATCGGATGAAAATAAAAATTGATTCGGTCGGATGTAAGCGCTTCTTTTGTTTTTGGGAATAATGGGTGCCAACCTTCATATCATGTTCTTATGACTTCGTAGCTTATTAACTAAAGTATCGTACCAAACGCACAATTGACTTGTTAACTCTGAAATCATGGATTTATTTGATGTTTTCTGCTCGATAGGCCCAAACTCGGCGATTAGGCCGAAGTAGTTCTCTACCCTATTTTTTGTTTTAGTTGAATTTACTCCAGGTTGGACTGCCTGGGAAAACAGTTTCCGCACTCACGTGTAAGGATCGGTGGAAGAAATCTGAAAGGGAAAGTTCCTCCAGTGATGATACATGTGAGTGGGGTTGTTGTGTTTTGGTAGAACGACGGTTAGCATCAACTTCGCTTAGGACCGTTTGAAGCGGCCTCTGTTTGTGAGGATCTCAATCCCTCATGGGATTTCAGTCTGCTGAATTGCTCTAAAACTACATGTTGGTCTCTTCCATTCATAAACCCGCCCTGAGGTTAGGTTTTTTGCCGGGCAAATCAAACCTTGACGAGTGGTCCTCTTCGGAGATGGCGCTTAAGTCACTCGTTTTAGAGACAGGAAGCGTATTCGGTGGTCAAGATCGGTTTGTCAAAATCGATCTTTCTCTGAAGATCGCCCAATCCTAATCTTGGTAGGTCACTGTTCGAAATGCTCTCTGCGTATTAGTGTTAAGAGTCAGATTACATCGCTAGCTTATGATGATGCCAATAAATCTTATAGCAGGTGTGTGCGTATTCATTGATCGCTAGAAGCGATTTTTTGACATCACTGATCAAGAGCAATATACTGTTTATTCACTGCTATGCGCACTGTTTGAACCTTGTACTTGTCGACGCAGTGTGCATGCGAAAGAAGAATGCGATTCTTATTGGCCTTTCATGTCGGTTTGACGGTGCTATCATCACCATCTGACGTGACTTCAGCTGAATCCAACCACCAAGGCAACAACATTGCAGCAAATGTATAATTTCGACCATTTGACGAACCGATCATCATCGACATCGACGATGGGATTAAATTGCCAATTTCCATTGGCTGTCTGAAAGAAGTTTGCATTGAAGAAGATGATCCACCACCGGAGCAAAACAATAAATAAAATTAGCTAAATTGAACAGTAGGGAAACAGGAGTGGGTGGACAGCACCATCCACCATGCACTTTGGAGTACTCCCCATCCACAGATTAAATGCACCATAGAAAAAAAATTGCCCCTCCTTAACAAGTTTCCTGTGCACGCTAGTGAGTTCTAAGGAATTCTAAGTTGAACTGAGGGTAGTTTCAAACGTATTACCAAAACAAACCTCTGAACTTATTCCTAGGGAATTTTGAGGAAAAATCTAAGGTCATTTTTGGAAACCAGGAATGACTAAAATAAATACTTGCGAAATGTTCAAGTGAATTTTATAAAATCAGAACCGCAGGCTAGCAGATAAACTTACCCGTCTTCCGATTCGTCGACGAACGTGTTGGTTTCCATCCGGCGGCTGGTGGCGTCTTCGTGGGTGGGCGAGAGGCTTTCCGCTGGTGGTTCGCTAGGTTCCACACATGTCACCTGGTCGGTATTCTGCACTAGATAGTTCTCTGCAAGCACGTTCAAAGGGGGCAAATTAGTTTTCACTGTCCGATTGGTCACTGATGTCTGCAGTGTTTAATGCCATCCGGCAATCTCACAGTACATGTATGTCTTACTGGTTTGATGGATTTTTTTTTTTTATTTTTTTTATCGAGACATTCAGATTGTTAAGGGACTCGCTAATGATGAACGTTAGTGTATTCTACTTGAACGTTTTAAGGCAATCATTCCGCTTAAAGGCTCTATTGGATGGCATGAATATGAGGCTGGGGGTACATTCAAGCAAAGATCTTATTTATGGAACTCGTTTTTCGTTTGCTGAGGTTGGAATCTTGGAATGTTAGTACTAGCAGTTAGTTTTCCTAGCTCAGTTATTTGCTTGGCCTTAGCACATTACCATTGTTTATTATTTATTTGCTTTTGGTTAACGTTCTACAGATGATAATGAATGCACCACTGCAAATAGAATGGAAACTACCATGCAAAATAGAGTAACAGAAAACAAAGTTCAATTTTTTTTATCACAATACAAATGAAAATGGCTTGTTGAAAGCAAAGCAAAGCAAAAACGACTTGATTTTTTTTTCAGCACGTTGGCCAAAGCGACTTAAAACTACGGAAAGCAGATTGTAAAGCCTTAAATAAAATAAAAATTAAAACAAATGCAAACAAGACAAACACACAACTCAATGTTATACAAAATAAAGTAAAACGAGTATGAAAGTTAGTACTCGACGGAGGGAAACACGATACATTTGGAATTTTTTTTAGATACACACACACACACGTGTAAAGATTAGTATTTAATTGTGCGAGAGAAACAGTGCCACAATAGCGGAGCAATTACTTTGAAGAATCCATGGAGCAACTTTAGGATTTGAGCAAACGAGACAGCAAGACCCGAATACAGAAGGAATAGAAGGTTGAGATTAGTGAGTACAGTTCTACATACTATCATCAGTGTGGCCCTCGTGTGAAGAGTTATTCTGAATGACCGTCACCACGACTTGTTCGGAAGTAATCCCATCACCGTCAGTACCCAGCTCGACGACAGGTGGTGAAACATGAGTGTTATCCGCATTGATTGGCAATAGAATATCATCCTCGTTGCCCAAGATCAGATTGGCACCGGAAGGTTGGTCATCATCGTCCAGGAGCGTTTCGCAATTGATAGCTTCAATGTCAATTAGATCTTGCGAGTCATCCACATCGCCGGAAGAAGATACGATGGATTTCGGCTCCGATTGCGGATTGCCACCGTCGTCGACAACGGTATCGGCTTCAGGGTTCAGTTTCTGGCTTTCCTGACTGGCTTCGAATTGTGGCTGTTCAGCAGTTTGAATGACTACCACTGGTGGGCGCGGCGATGGCGCAGTTTCTGCAGAAACTGTGCTTTCTGGAGTAGCGGCGGTGTGGACTGCTATAGCGGCTGTGTCGGATTTTTGCTGGGCAGAGATGACTTTACCTTGAGGTGGATTGCAATTGCCAATATACATAATGGTGAGTTAAAACGATTGTGCTCGCGCTCGAATGGCTGAGTGGTTTGAGGGGGGAGGGAATGGGGTGAGAAGGTGACAGCGTACAGAATATTTCAAATTCGAAGCTTTGTAAAAGTGTCTAAGTCAGTTTACAATATGTGCTTGGTAGAACATACTTCTTATGGCTCTACCCCGTTTGGCATAATGCCGTTTGACACTATGCCATTACATTAGATTAAAATTAAACAACAAGCGATGAATCTCATTTTGATACACAATTTTGACTGAATCTATAGAGCAGTTACAAACCAACTGACGAATCGATTTTTTTTTTCCACTCCGAATTCGATGAAACTTTGCATGTTTGTTCACTAGGCGCAATAATCCAAGTTTGTGACAGAAATCTGCCAATTTGACTCACGCCTAATTTGCGAATTCGATATTTTTCAATAAATCTTAGCACGAAAGCGGCTCATCTAATCGAAATAACGTACAAAGTAGTAGAAAACTTGATTGCCTTAACAGGAAAAATACACACTGAAAAAAAAAACATTTTCGTCAAATTTTGAAGAAAAAATACTATTCAAAACTTCAATAACAAAATAAGAACATTTTGTAGATTTGTAGACTTACGTTTATTTGAAGGCTTATCAAAAATGCTGAGTCAACAAAACACTTTGATTGAATGTAAAAATGCTAACTTTTCTGAAATGGACTCAATTGATGAATTTAAGCAAAGGTAAAACAGACCATGCGACATGCGCAATTACAAAACTGATGATTTGATGGTAGCAAAACGTCATTATCATTTTCACATCATTGCCATCTGCTGGTCAACCGTAACTTAAATTCATCAATGGACACTGCAAAATTGACCAAAATCGTAGAACATCAACTATTAGTACTTATTTTAAACTTTTTCAGTGTTCACTCGTCTGTCGACAGCAGCAGGCCACTCTCGATGTGTGTCACGTGATCGTCTATTTACTCGGCAGCAACCATTGTGTGGTCCTCCTCATTGTTCTTCATCAGCAGTTCTTTCAGTCGATGCGTCGTCGACTTTGGAAAGCAACCGTTTTGTATTTGTATTTATATTTATTGTATAAATCCATCTGACATCGTGGTCTTAATGAATATAACTTAACTAAAAAAAAAACTTTAGCACGTTGTACAGAAAAAACAAAATCATTCTGGTCGATTCCGTAGGCGGTTTCGAAAGACGTTGGTAGAGATATTGAAGTCAAACAAGCTGTAATTGTCTTGGAGTCTTCGACTTATCGAATCGATGGGATTGTTGGATCCGTACTGTGTTCGTCTCGTTGGCTGGCGCAATAGCTGTCTAGATCGCAGCACTCGTTGAGGGGCGTAGATGTTGAGCTGACTCAGCAATGCAGGGCAGTCTATTTCGGAGCGTAAAATTTTGGCTCCTAAGATAGCTTGGCTGAACTTGCGTCTATCCACTAGCGGTTCAATACCAAGCAGCGCACAGCGGTGCTCGTAGGGTGGTAGTCGTAATGAGTCGGTCCATGGCAAGCCTCGTAGAGCACATCTCACAAATTTCCGCTGCACTGATTCGATTCGTGAAATCCACACAGCATCGTACGGAGACCAGACGGCAGAAGCAAATTCAAGAATTGATCTAACTAGCGAGCAATACAGAGATCGCAAACACAGAGGGTCATCAAATCCGTTCGCTATCTTGAGAATAAATTCAAGTTGACGATTTGCTTTATCAACTATTTCCGAATAGTGCATTTTGAATGTGAGTTGATAATCCAGTATCACACCCAAGTCTTTAACATGATCAACCCGATTCAGTACAGTACCATTGATAGTATAGTCATGTAGGATAGGACTTCTCGTTCTTCAAAAGGATATTATACAGCATTTGGACACACTGACTGCTAGATGATTCAGCGCACACCAACTGACAAACAAATCTAGCTGTTGTTGCAATTGACGGCAATCACTGGTGCTCCTAATAACCAGGTAGATTTTCAAATCGTCTGCGTAGAACATTAGGCAGCAATTCAGAAGAACGTGGGACACATCATTGAAGAACAACGCGAATAACAGCGGCCCTAAGTTGAATTATGTGTGAGTGCTGACCACTTTTGCGTCCATTTTTGCAATGGAAGAGCCCTGCCCCCCGTTGGCGATACTGCCATACAATAAAACCACTGGAAGCGGCTCCCGTTCTGATGGAAGAGGCTTATTGGATAGCGGAAGCTAAAGTGTTTATTGTGTTGTACCTTTTGACTATAATTTTAAGATGTATTGTATAGTAAACAAGAATCCTCGGCTCTGTAAAGTTAATTCGATTGAGCCTTAACAAATAAATTAATAATAAACTATTTTAATTTTTTTTTTGCAAAAATTTTTTTTTTTATTTTTAATGCAGAAAATATGTTTTATAGTTCAGAAAAACTTTCCTGTTAAACTACATAAAGTTATTGAAGTTTTTTTTATCAATTTTGACGATTTTTTTTTCAGTGTGTAATTGATTTCTGAAAAGACAGTAAAGTTTCCTACAATTTTGTATCAAATGTCATTTCGATTAGATAATCCGTTTTTGTGCTCTGATTTATTGAAAAATATCGTATACAAATATTTTTCGGACATCAACATCTTTTGACATTTCAGCAGAGCAAATCCACACTCTCAGAATTGTGAGATGATCAAGACCATTTTTTTTATATTCAGTATTTTACACTCACGGAAGAAAATAATCGTGGTTAAAAAAAATGCCGAGCACAGCCGGTTAGTGCGAGTTTTATCGAGCTAGGTTGAGTGTGTGCCTCCAGGATTTCTAGCGCTAAAAAAGCTCTGCCGAAAAACTGCCGAAACCCTTGAAATATCTGTAGCTCCGGAAACCATCGGAACTCTAGGAGCTTTTTGAGCTCCCGGGCAACTTCCGAATCGACGGGAATTTGCAGAACTTCTGGATCTCCACCCCATACCACTCTTGAAAATTTAAATACAAAAGAACAAACAGAGCGATAGAAATCCAGGATCATAAAAAAAACAGCAGGAACTCTTAGAACTTCTAAGAACTACAAGAAATTCCGGTACTCTGACAGTCTTCAAAATATTCAGTAAATGTCAGAAGATCGACAACTTCTGAAATTCCGACAATCCTTAGAACTTCTGCGATCTTCGAGATATACTAAGACCTACCAGAAATTTCAAAACTTTTGGAACTTGTGGAAATTCAGTTCACTCGTCGTTGAAAACATTCCACCGAACTCCCGGAACATCAAGAACCACAGTAGCTCTCAGAGGTCTAGTAGAATTTGGACTTCCAGCAACTCTGAGAACTCTGAAAACTTCAGGAAATCCTGATATTCAGAAAACTTCCACGAATTTCAGCAAATCCGAGACTCCAAAAATCTTCAAAATATCGAGTAAGTGTCAGAAGATCAACAACTTCTGAAATCCCGACAATCCTTAGAACTCCTGTGATCTTCGAGATATACTAAGACCTACCAGAAATTTCAAAACTTTTGGAACTTGTGGAAATTCAGTTGATTCGTCGTTGAAAACATTCCACCGAACTCCCGGAGCATCAAGAACCACAGTAGCTCTCAGAGGTCTAGTAGAATTTGGACTTCCAGCAACTCTGAGAACTCTGAAAAACTTCAGGAAATCCTGATACTCAGAAAACTTCCACGAATTTCAGCAAATCCGAGATTCCAAAAATCTTCAAAATATCCAGTAAGTGTCAGAAGATCGACACTTCTGAAATTCCGACAATCCTTAGAACTCCTGGGATCTTCGAGATATACTAAGACCTACCAGAAATTTTAAAACTTTTGGAACTTGTGGAAATTCGGTTCACTCGTCGTTGAAAACATTCCACCGAACTCCCGGAACATCAAGAACTACAGTAGCTCTCAGAGATCTAGTAGAATTTGAACTTGCAGCAACTCTGAGAACTCTGAAAACTTCAGGAAATCCTGGTACTCGGAAAACTTCCACGAATTTCAGCAAATCCAAGACTCCAAAAATCTTCAAAATATCCAGCAAGTGTCAGAAGATCAACAACTTCTGAAATCCCGACAATCTTTAGAACTCCTGCGATATTCGAGATATACTAAGACCTACCAGAAATTTTAAAACGTTTGAAACTTGTGGAAATTCGGTTCACTCGTCGTTGAAAACATTCCACCGAACTCCCGGAACATCAAGAACCACAGTAGCTCTCAGAGGTTTAGTAGAATTTGAACTTCCAGCAACTCTGAGAACTCTGAAAACTTCAGGAAATCCTGGTACTCGGAAAACTTCCACGAATTTCAGCAAATCCAAGACTCCAAAAATCTTCAAAATATCCAGTAAGTGTCAGAAGATCGACAACTTCTGAAATTCAGACAATCCTTAGAACTCCTGCGATCTTCGAGATATACTAAGACCTACCAGAAATTTCAAAACTTTTGGAACTTGTGAAAATTCGGTTCACTCGTCGTTGAAAACATTCCACCGAACTCCCGGAACATCAAGAACTACAGTAGCTCTCAGAGATCTAGTAGAATTTGAACTTCCAGCAACTCTGTGAACCCTGAAAACTTCAGGAAATCCTGGTACTCAGAAAACTTTCACGAATTTCAGCAAATCCGAAACTTCAAAAATCTTCTGGATCTTCTGCAATTCTGAAAACTTCTGAGAAGTTCCAAAAATTCTGTTACCCTCAGATTTTTCCAAACTTCCAGAACTACAAGAACTGTAGAATTTCCTGTAGGACTGTCATCTTTTCACTCAATGTGTGCAGTGCGCTGATTTTCTAAAATCCACAAAGTTAAAACCAGGCTTGCTGAAACTCCTCAAACTCACTGGAGGTTTTAAAACACTCTTGTCCTGCGAGTTTAGCCAGCCCTCACCTCAAGTGAGTGGCGGCAGGAATATGGAAGAAGTAAACAAAAACCCTTAAGCTGGGTTTAGACTAAGCAAGTCAAATGATCAACTCAGTTGAATTCAATTGGCTTGAAAAGTTGAGCCTGGTTCAACTTTTTTTTTAAATTCAAGTGAGTTGATCAAGTCAGTTGAATGGCATGGTTTACACGTTCAATTCGCGTTCAAGTCAGTTGAATTCAACTGACTTGATCGATTGACTTGCACTGTCTTCGATTTACTTGCACTCAATTGAATTGAAAAAAGTTGAATTCAACTGAGTTCATCATTTGACTTGCCTAGTCTAAACCCACCTTAAGAGCGTGTGATAAAAAACATGAACATGAATGGCAGCAAACCTCACTCTCATTTAATCCCCTTTCGCTCACAAGCTCTGAAGCTCAGTGGAATGATTTGGCAGTAGGCATTCTACTGCGCAGAAAATTGCTACGCTCGGCTCATTTCAAACTCGCGAGTGAGGCTCCATCAAGCCTGGTTAAAACCAGTCACACACAAGTTTTGTTTAGTCTTCCTCCCTTCGTAAAGCTGAGTTTAGACAGGGCAAGTCAAATGATCAAGTCAGTTTAACTTGAACGCGAATTGAACGTGTAAACCATGCCATTCAACTGACTTGATCAACTCACTTTAATAGAAAAAAAATTGAACCACGCTTAACTTTTCAAGCCAATTGAATTCAACTGAGTTGATCATTTGACTTGCCTAGTCTAAACCCAGCTTAAGGGTAAAGCAGCGGAGAAGAGGAGAAAGACAAGCACCAAGAAATAACGTGAGCTGGTACTGCTATAAGTACCTAAGCCCACTTTACCTCTGACTGGCATCCAGTGGCTGTACATGAAATGCCTATCTTCGGAAGCTACACCACCAGCTGTCTCTGCCACTTCCACCACTATGCACCACTGGAGGTGCACGTGAGTGAGTGAGAAAGTGAAACTTTCGCACCCACTCAAAGAGCGCACGCATTGTGTGATTGTAAATGGGAAATCCGGCAGAACGCCGTGGCCGTAATTCTAGTACTACACTATGTTTGTTTTGATTCGCTATGAAAGTTTGACAGATAGATAAAATGAGAGGTTCGTCGATTTTCCTATGTTTCGAGGGGTGCATCGATTAGTTTGGGACCGAAAGTAGTACCAGAGCTGAGCCAAAAAGTTGAGCAGGTTTCTTCGAGACCTTCTGGCCTTAGAGTTACCTCTATGGTCCCGAAGAAACGTGCTCAACTTTTTGGTTCAGCTCTGGTACTCTCTTCGGTCCCAAGCTAATCGATGGGCCCCTCGAAACATAGGAAAACCCACGAACCCCTCATTTTATCTGTCAAACTTTCATAGCGAATCAAAACAAACATTATTGGTTCAAGCAGAACGAGGCGAACCAAGTGGCACTCGATTATGACGTCTGGGTTAGGAAAAATGTGTATTTGATGAACACAGTGGCAGGCTTCCCTTAGCTCAGTCGGTAAAGGCGCAGCTACAAAGCAAGACCATGCTGGAGGCGGCTGGATTCGATTCCCGGTCCGGTCTAGGAATTTTTCGGGTTGGAAAATTTCTCGACTTCCCTGGGCATAGAAGTATGATTGGACTTGCCACACAATCATATCAATGCAAAAATGGTACAGGCATCGAAAGCTCTCAACTAATAACTGTGGAAGTGCATCTAGAACACTAAGTTGAGAGCACGCAATAAGCTAATTTTTTTTTTTTCCTTTGGTTTGTTTTTTCCGTCGATCTTGTTTTCCGTGCTGAGCACCAATGCTACCGACGTGCCAGGAAGGCAGCTCCCACACCTGGACCCTACCTATCGACCCATCAACTCATGAACCGGGGACCAACGGCTTTACTTCCCATCCGAAGGAAGGCGTGATCAGAGATGTTATGCCTCAGAACATCCCGGCGGCGCCGACTGGGTTTGAACCCAGGCCTGCTGGGGTGAGAGATAATCACGCTTACTACTACACCACCGGCGCCGTTGCAATAAGCTAATATGCGATATGCAATAAGCTTTGAAATGCGAAGAAGAAGAAGAAAGTGGCAAAAATATAACTTTTTATTTGAACATTTTTAAAAGTTTTTGTTTATGGAAAATTGGAAAAGTATTTATTTCAGCAGATTCATAGAGTTATTTCCTATCGATTGGTGTATTTGGATTTAAATTTCATCTATAAATGATAAAGCTATCAGCGTTCAAAACCTTACACCTTTTCGTGACGATCACAATTTTAGAATTCAGTTGTTGTCAAGATTCTTGTGTTTAATTCCGCTGTCATCTGTCAATCTGGAATCAATATTTTAACAAAGCCTCAATTCGAATATTCATGTACACCGCTTAACATATTTTATAAGAAACTTCTGTCATATTTCCTGTTGAAAGCATTATGTCGACATAAAGAAACCCCTGCCACTTTGGAGTACCAAAGTTGCTGAGCAAGACTTCTACGTGTATGAGTGCAATGTGTATTAGTAAGGCTCCTAAACGAAACTACCCAAAACCGATTATGAATTATAGGAAAAAGAAACGAAAATCTTAAAACAAAATAACCAAAACCAAAATGAAACCAAATTCCAAAACGGAGGAACCAAACTTATTCAGAACAGGGCATAAAAAGCGAGAATATTTGTACAGAACAGAAAATAGAAAACCATTAGGGGGCATTTCATTACATCATCTTCTCCCACCTAAAGAGGAGTCCTCGTACAGTTCTCATATATTAGACTAATATGAACATGGCCAAGGAAATTATACAACCGAATACGGGGATGCTTTCTCAAAATCCTATTATACCGGAAATACCATTACGATCGAGATATAATGGGTGAGGGGTGGTATTAAATCAAGAGGAAATACAGAGAGAGAGAGATAGAGAGTGAGTGAATAGTAAATTTTGATGAAATTACCTGTTTCGTCGTCATCACTCAGTTCGCCGCCAGTTTCGTGCAGGGCCACGTCCGACCCACTAGAAGAGCCACCGGTTCGACTGGAATAACTCGCACCTCCGGTAGCGCTGGTAGCACCGGGCTGCGTAACCGTAATGGACGGCGTAGGACAGTTGGATCCTTCCGCTTGGTTGGGTGTCAAATCCCTCCTTCCACCACCGAGTCGATCCTCGTCGCTTTCCGAACTACTGCTACCTCCGACGATAAATTTCTGCGGGGAATCATCATCGTCATCCTGGTCTGGCGACTGATCGATAACACTCGATCGCCGATCGTCTTCCATTTCGTAGTCGTAGTGCTCCTCGGTGATTATCACCAGGTTGCTGTTGTCATCTTCGTCGGTAGCATTCTGTTCCTTATCCATTTTGGCGTAGTTCTCTGGCGACGTTTGCACGAAAATAAATTCATCTATATCACCGGAGTAATCAGCCGCCGCCTCCGAGATGTTGTTGTCCGAGGATATGATCACAATCTGCTCGGTTTTCTGCTCGTCGTCACCCGGTGTCGAGAAGGACTTTTCAAACATTCGTCCAGCATCCACCCGCAGTGTACCCGGCGATGGGTCCATTCTATCCAGACTATACCGCCGATCGTTGGAAACATCTTCCAAATTGACCGATGAGATCTCCTTGGTAACCACTTCCGTTGGTTCTTCCGCAGCAGAGGGCGTAACCTCCCACTCAATGTCTTCCACGTTCGGCCTGTGGGCCAACTGTTTGTTGATTTTGATATTGACCTTCGAGTGCTTCTTGATTGTCCTAACCTTGCCACTCTTGTCCGTTTCCAGATCCAGCTGTTCAAAGTCATCCGACTCGTTCCCTTCCTCGTCATCATCTTCCTCGTCACCCGTCTCGACCAGTGGCTTCTGCTTCTGCATCACCGGTTCCTGCTCGATGGCATCTTCAAAGTCCTCGTCATCGTCGCCGGTAGTGTCATGTTCCGCGATCGCAGCCTGAATAATCTCCTGTACATCCTCGACGATGACTGGTTGGGCGGAAATGGGCACAAACACGAACACACCAAGCCGCATTATCATCACGTGGAGGTGCACATGACACAGCATGAAAGCAACGGTGAGTTTATTGTTTTGTGGGTTATGTTTCAATTTAGGTAGTAATTTCAAGCATTTGTGACCGGGGATGATCGATGGTGCACGAGAGGAGTTCATTCGTGCAGTTCGTGGGGGTATTTGGGAGGGATTTTGTGCGCACGCGATTGGTGTGCAGAGACGACCGACGTTGCGTTGTAGAGTTGAGAGATCACGAAGATGGGACGGTTGAAAATGGGGTTTCGGAAGGTTTGATTCGTATTAGTAAAACAAGATGAATTGGAGGCACATGATAAAGGGGTAGGTGGTGGTGATTGTGGTGGTGGTAACGCGAACCAAGTTTTACGAAGTGCATCCGGATGTATTGGGTTGTTTGGCCAAGTAGCCAAACTGGGCAAGATACTATCCGACATGTTGTTTTCAAAACAGTACACAGTTTACAGATCGTGGACTTTATAAAATATTAGGAACTCTTCGACTTACCTACAAAAGGTTTTAATATTCTGAAAATCAATGACTAATGAATCAATGCAGATGCTTGTTCTCTTCTGGATACTCCCATGACTCTTAAGATCTAATAACTTACCTTCAGACACCTAATGGGCTAAATCTAGAAAAGTCAACTCCAGATGTCTCTTGTATTGAAGGCAGCGAAGCCTTATGAGTTAACTTCAAATATCTTATTCGTCAAGTCCAGAAGCCTTATGAATTGAGTTCAAAGGCCTTACGTTCTAAGTCTACAGACCATACAAGTCATCTGACAGTTATAAGTTTTTTTAGTCAGTTATACGCATTATTTTCTAGTAGACCCATATGTCATTTTCAGAGGACCCATAAGACATCAACAAAGAGTATATATTGAAATCATTAAGCTCTTAAGTTTAAGTTAAATGAATATGCGTTGAAGTGTCGGTCAACTGCAGAAGACTTATGGTACACGTCCAGCGATCTAATTCGGATGCCCTTGAAGTCCAATGGGTTCAAAATAACGACCCTATAGAGATCTTTTGTGTCAACTCAGGATGCACTATGAGTTCATTCTAGACATCTTTTCGATAAATTACAGTGATTAGCGTGAATTAATTTATCCCATAAAGCCTATTGACTTGACCTAAGGGGCGTCTAAAGCCACTGAAACGGAAATCCAGTTAACTCATAACCCCTCTGTCATTATCTCATAAGTCTTTTGAAGTCCGGAGACAGTTCAGCTTCCTGTCCTTAACTGTTAAGTCTAATAAGCTACTGAACTCAACAAGGCATTGCTCTTTCGGTGCTACTGAAAGCAACACCTAATCTTCTTCTTACTCTGACACCACTTTAAAATCCTTCAAAAAGTGTATCTTTGACTACTGAACACTGCATCGTAGACTGTTATAGAACGTCACAGGAATTGATTTAACTGTCTGCCAAGAGCTTCTCCCAAAAAACATTGCAAGTTTTATCGAGGTTTTAAAGCATTCTACAGCTTTAAATCATGGTTTACAGAACCCTAATCAAACGAAAATTGTTACATGGGCTGCGCTCTGAAAAGTTATCTTTGGAGTCGATGTATTCTACTTCTAATATTATCATAAGGCCTCTGGAGTTAACCCAAGATTTATTTTTCTTGACTTAAGGTTTGTAAAATTGGCTCGTCAAGCTAATAATTTCAACTCATACGTCCAACGGAATTGATTTGTTGAATGTTTTTCAAAATTAACCCCAACGGCTTAAGGAGTTATTTGCAGTTGGTTTCTAAACATAACCCATAAGATTCCTGGAGTCGGTACAAGAGGCATGTGGAAACGGTCCAGAGGCCCCTTGAATTATTCCAAAAGACAATGAAGGCGTCGTCAGATGGCCTCTTGCTTTAGAGCTCAAGCTTCATACGGTCTCCAGAGTTGATGAATAAGATCTTTGAAGTTGATGCAACAGACATCTGCATTCGACTTATAGGGCCTCTGGACTTCGCCCATTTGGTCTCTGAGGCTGAACCTACATATAGGATCTCTAGTTTTCACTCATATCTCTTTATCAGAGATACCACGTGTCTTCAACGAGACCAACGGGATGTCTTCATCGCTACTTTTGAAATTTGCGATTTTTTAGATTTATAAAACTGAGCCTTTACAGAAGTTCAGGGATCTTCATTGAAGTCAAAGGGCAATTCGTGGAAGTTACGATAACATCACCGGTCTAGGAATTTTTCGGGTTGGAAAAATTCTCGACTTCCCTGGGCATAGAGTATGATTGTACTTGCCACACAATTATACTAATTTCAAAAATGGTACAGGCATCGAAAGCTCTCAATTAATAACTGGGGAAGTGCATCTAGAACACTAAGTGGAGAGCACGCAATAAGCTAATGTGCGATAAGCAATAAGCTTGAAATGCGAGGAAGAAGAAGAAGATAACAATCATTTTATTTCAGATAACTTAGTAGAAGTTCGAGGAACTTCGTAACACTTCAGGGAACGTTGTAGAACTTCATAGACCTGGATTTGGAAACTTTCTAGAATTAGAACTATACAGAACTTCGAATATTTAAGGTCAACGAACTGCGTAGACGCTCTGGAAACTTTCTAAAAGTACGATGAATTTTACAGGAGCTCAGCTAGCTTTGTAAAAGCTCAGCGAACTTCAGGATACTTCATGGACGTGTTGATAATTTTGTCGAACTTAATAGAATTTTCTAGAATTTCAGAGAACTTTGTAGAACTTCATCAAGCTTTGAAGAAATTTAGTGAATTGTATAGACGTTTAACAAATTTTGTAGAAATTCGAGGAACTTCTTAAAACTTCCGGTATTTTGAAGATGTTCCGGGGGAGATAGTTGAAATTCAGGAAATGTTATATAAATTCGGGGAACTTCGTAGAGTTACAGATAACTTCGTAGAAGTTCAAGAAACTTTGTGAAAATTCGGGAAAACTTCGTAGAAGTGGAAGCTTTGTACAAATTTGAGGAATTTTGTTGAAGTTAAGGGAACTTTGCTCAGTTTCAGGAAACTTCATAAAATTACCAGGACCTTCTTTCAACTTCAAGGAACTTCGTTAAAGTTTAATGGAATTCCGTACTTTGTAGAACTTCAGGAAACTTCGCAGGAAATCAACGAAATTCTTTAAGGTGATACGATCCAACTTCCACAAATTTCGGACACTGTTGGGATTATAAGGACTAAATTGGCATCACCATATTTGCTGCGTCCCAATTATTGTATGTTTTCCAGCAGCATATAATGTCTCCTAGAAAATGCGAAGTGGCATCAGACCCCGGGCATCTGGATCGTATCACCTTAACATTGTAGAAGTGCAGCGATCTCATAGTTCATAGTTCAGCGAATTTTGTATAAATTTAGCGAATTACATAAGAAAAACTTCGTAAAACTTCATAAGACGTTTAAGGAACTTTGTAAAAGTTCAGGAAACTTCGTAGAAACTCGACAAACTTTGTAGAAGCTTGGTTTAGGTTCAGGAAATTTCGTAACCCTCAGGGAATTCCGTAGAAACTCAGCAGTCTTCTAAGAACAGCAGCGATCTTTGAATCAGTATAGGGAGCTTCGTAGCAGTTTATCAGAAGAAGTTTTGGGAACTTAGTTTCTCCAAGATGTTCAGGAAAATTCGCAAACAAAAATCAGGCTCTTTTTTTTTCCTTTGGTGTGTTTTTTCCGTCGATCTTGTTTTCCGTGCTGAGCACCAATGCTACCGACGTGTCAGGAAGGCAGCTCCCACACCTGGACCCTACCTATCGACCCATCAACTCATGAACCGGGGACCAACGGCTTTACTTCCCATCCGAAGGAAGGCGTGATCAGAGATGTTATGCCTCTGAACATCCCGGCGGCGCCGACTGGGATTGAACCCAGGCCTGCTGGGGTGAGAGGTAATCACGTTTACCACTACACCACCGGCGCCGTTAAATCAGGCTCTTCTCGGAGGTTTGGAGAAGTTCACTGCCCATAAGAGAGTAACTGTTTCAAATAAATTGGAAATCAAAAAAAAATGGGACAGTTATGCTTTTTATGGCCAGTTCATGGCCGTTTTATGGTCAAGATCTTGGTCAATTTTGGAGAGGTTGGAAAATAAATAATAATGTAACATGGAAGAACAGTACTGGTCTAGGAATTTTTCGGATTGGAAAATTTCTCGACTTCCCTGGGCATGAAAGTATGATTGGACTTGCCACACAATTATAATAATGCAAAAATGGTACAGGCATCGTACAGCATCAATTAATAACTGTGGAAGTGCATCTAGAACACTAAGTTGAGAGCACACAATAAGCTAATATGCGATATGCAATAAGCTTGAAATGCGAAGAAGAAGATGAAGAAGAAGGAAGAACAGTACTGTCATGGCAAATATAGAACTGGTTCCTAACTGATTTCTTAGATGCGCACGCCTCAGAGCGCCCTTAATTCAATTATAGGAATTTAGGTGAATTTAGGTACATCTCCACTGACACTGACATAAGAGTAATTTTTTCTGCATTCAGTTCTCCATAAAACTATCCGAGACGAGAAACTGTACTGAAGTTAATGTAACTGCCCTAAAAATCAGTAAACATTTGTGAAATTTTCTAGACTTCCTCGAAGTGCTAAGGATTCCTTTACATTCTCTGAACTTCCTACAAGTTCACTGGAAGTCTTTAGAACTTCTTTAAAGGTACACAATTTTTCTGAAATAAATGGAACTGCCTTGACGTACTTTCGAAAAAAAACTCCGATTTTCATGGTACTTCCCTTGAAATCTTTAAAATTACCAGAACTTATCTGGACTTTCCTAAAGTTCCCGCAATTTCCCTAACGATCATGTATCACCTTTGAAGGTTCTGCAATTTTTATGGAATTCTAGGAACGTCCTGAAGTCTTAACAATTTCCATGATTTTCGCTAAACTTCTTTAACATTTATGTAATTTCTCTGAAAATAATGGAACTGTCTGGAAGGTTTTCTGATCTTCCCTGAAGTTCTTTGAACTTCTCCAAAGTTTTCTGATCGTCCATGAAGTCTGTTGCACTTCTCAAAAATTATCTGAAATTCTCCAAAATTCTATGAACTTCTCGAAAATTATCTGAACTTCTCCAAAGTTTCCAACAAAATTCTGAATTTTTTGAACAACACTGAAGTTCTGTAAACGTCTTGAAAATTTAGGAACTTCGTTCCCTCAATTCTCGAAACAACCCTGAAACTTACGGAACATCTTTTAACATGTTTTTTTTTGCAATTTATGTTCTCAGAGTTTTTCAGAAGTTTCTTGACGTTCTTTGGAATTTTATAAAGTTCCCGCAGTTTTCCTAACATTTCTTAACTTTGAATTTCCTGAAATGTTTGTAGCTTCTTTAAATTAATACACAATAATAAATGTATGCCTAAGATTATCCTGGAACTGGTCTTATGTTATTGGGACTACCAAAAAGATCTCCGAACTTCACTTTAAATCCAGTAGACTTCTCTGAATTTATCAATATATTTTGAAAGTCCCCGTTGTTTGACTGAAGTTAATTCAATTGCCTTGATATTCCTTCAAGTTCCCGTAATTTTCCATAAGTTTTGAAAACTTCGGAAAAGCTCACAGACCTTATCATAAAATTTAAAAAAAACAATCCTAAACTTTTCTGGAAGTCCATAAAGTTTCCTAAATTCTCGGAACATCTCATAATTCCTTGGAACTCCATGAAACTTCCTGCAATTTTCCTTAAATTAATGGAACTGCTCAGAAGTTATCTGATCGTACTTGAAGTACTGGGAACTTCCCTGAATATAATGAAACTTCCTAAAAATCTCCAAACTTTTCAGAAGTTCACTGATGTTCGCTGAGGATCCTGCTATTTTCTGAAGTTCTTGCAGTTACCATCAAAATCACGGAATTCCCTCAACATCTGCTCACAATTTCCTCATTTTCATGTTTCATTCCAAAATTATAACAAAACCCATATTTTCCCGGAATTTCAATAAAGTTCCTGCAATTTCCTTGAAATTTATTGAACTGCCCTTATAAGTTCATTTATTTGTCTTAATGATCTCGGGGCATTCCTAAAGTTCTTTGAATTCTCCTGAAGTTCATGGTACTGCCGTGAAATAAATTTAATTGTCCTAAAAATCATTTCCTGATGATCTCTGGGCTGCCGCTCATGGCAAGTTGGTCTCATAGCCAGGCATGGAAAATCATTTGCATTCATTTCGTGCATTCATTTACATTCATTTGCTTCTAACTTTTTTCTTCAACAGCATTCCGCAAAATGATGTAAAGAGCTTTTGAAGGTTTTATTAATAGCTGCAACTTTTGTTAAAAAATCAAATCCGTATCTCTTATGCATGACAAATCAGAGCGAACAGAAGCCACTACTGTTTTTCAGTGAATGTATTTTACATTCACTAATAAACAGTAACAAGTTCTGCGCGCTTTAGTTCGTAATGCACAAGAGATACAGATTTGAGTTATGAGAAAAACTTGTAGCTAATAACAAAACCTACAAAAGCTCTATACATTATTTTGCGGAATGCTGTTGATGAAACAAGTTAGAGGCAAATGAATGTAAATGAATGTATGAAATGAATGCAAATGATTTTCCATGCATTATTCATGTGTTCATTTTTGGTTAACAGGGCTCCGCTGTTGTGTCACTTTTTGTCGAGTGAGTGAACTCAAATCCATCCGTGCACTCGTCTATTGACCAATGCACCGAATGAACTCACGAAAAAATTTGACTTTTGAGCAGTGCCGTGTTTACTAAAAATGAACACATGATGTAATGCTCGCGTAATTATAAAAAACTTGTTAGGCCCTTTTCTCACGAGCCGAAGAACACCCACGAAAACCAAACCACTATCGGAAAGGGGAGATTTATTAACCCTACACAGAAACAAAATCCATTGGCAAAAATACTATATTGATGGTTTAAATTAAATACTCCCACCAATAGATTTGTGCAGAAACGAAATTCATTTAATTTTACTATTTTTTCTATCAAAACTACTATGCCTTTTGAGTAAGCATAGTAGTTTTGACAGAATGGTAGTAAATTTGATTATATTTTTAGTCAAATAAACTGAAATCATGGTAGATTTAACGGCATTAAGCATAGTTATACTGAAAATAAGTGTTTTCTGCAAAATAGTATTCCTAACTATGGTCTTTGCTTCAGTGTACCCGATGGTGTTGTTGGTTTGCATGGGCGTACTTCGGTTCGCGTGAAAAATGCCTAACAAGTTTTGTTTACATAAGTTGATAGGCCATTTTTAAATGTTACGCGAGTATTATTCATGCGTTCATTTTTAGTATTCAGAGCACCGCTCAAACGTCAAATTTGTTCATACAGTTCATTCCGTGCATTGGTCAATAATGAATCTATGGGTGATTAGCTGACTCTTCCATTGAAAAACTCAGTTTTGAATAAAACACAAATGGACGAGTGCACCGATGAATTTGAGTTCATTCACTCGAGAAAAAGATACACAAGCTGCGGCAATATTTACTAATAATGAATACTAAATGTTCATTGTTCATTATTCATGAACATTTAGTATTCATGATTAGTAAACATTGCCCGCAGCTTGTGTCACTTTTTCTCGAGTGAGTGAACTCAAATCCATCGGTGCACTCGTCCATGGGACCGACTTGCGATGAACGGCAGTGGGCTTCTTTGAATTTCTCAAATTTTCAATGAAGCATTCTGGACATCTCTGGATTACTTTGAAATTCTCGGAACTATCCTGAAGTTATTGGAACTGCCCATAATAGCTCATAATAGGAATCACCGTATGGACAACTGCACCGATGGCTTTTAGTTCATGCACTGATGGACATTTTACAGCAGAGCGGGGTAATGTTTATTAATAATGAACATTCAGTGTTCATTTTAAGTAAACATTGCCCCGCTCTCCTGTCAAATTTTCGTCGGTGCATGAACTCAAATTCATCAGTGCACTCGTCCATAGAAACATATTCATCAAGCACGCAAATCTTTCTATTTAGGTTGACATCATTGCTATGAAACTCATTCAGAACTTCTACCTTTGAACTGTAGATAGCGACATTTAATTTAGCTTTTGCGTTTGCAGTTTTCTTAATATGGTTTCGTCGATTAATAGTAAATGGTCATTTTATTTGATTTCAACTGAAACTTCCCTCTGAAAATGTTCGAAGAATCTCCCGTTAAAACTCGTCTCCTTGGAACACGTTACCACCACTCGATTTCGGACAAGAACACAATATGACTGGAAATGCTCGTCACAGGGCGATGTAGGAAGGTAATCATGTGATGAACAGAAACAAAATGGTCAACAAAAACTCGAACAAAATAGAATACAAAAAAAAATGCGAAGGGTTTATGATAAATTTCCAACAACTGTGCAACCTATTTTGAGACGGAGTATTTTTTGTTTATGAAACCCTAACCCAGTCAAAAACCACACTGGTAAGACGTTAAGCTCATTTCTGCCGCAGAGCTTTGAGATAGATTCATTTACAAAAGATGTTTTTTGCAGGGATTGTTTCCAAACATGTTTTATACAATTGTGCGTAAACGCCCTAAATACTTCTAATACTGAAGAAAACAGGGGGGTTAAGTCACCTATACGTATGGTTAAATATCTGTGGATAAGGATTATATTCACAAACTATGTAGACCTATCTAAAACTAATACAAACTCACTCTAAACATCGTTCTTTCAACTGTAAAGGTACTGTATTGTTTAATTTATTTAGAAAATTAGAAAACTCATTCGTTCCTCAAAAAAAAAAAAATCAGAAGACAAATAGTGCGTAACTAAACGGTTGAATAATTATCACAAAAATGAGTAAAATTCAAAAACCATCAATCTAAACTATGTTCCCAGAGAAGGAGAAGAATAATCACACCACTTCACAAACACCCACACGCGTCAAACGTCCTAAATCATTCCTAGTAAACGCGTACACACAAACAGAAGAAGAAGAAGAAAAAAAAACCCCCGAGACAAACTAAAACAGAAACGACAAACGAAAATCTGTGTTGCAAAACTAAACAAAAAATAAGGTAAAACAAAATTTAGCAGAGTGAATAACAAAACTAAACACAAAACAATACAAAACAGAAACTAAAGGGACCGAAACACGGAACTAAATGACCCGTAAACTTTGCAGCGCGAGTTAATCATGGGGGAAGAAGAAAAACTAACGAAAAGAAAAACAAACACTTGGAGATGGAAATGTTTTCTCCAATTCGAAAGAATCGTAGGGTAGAGTAGATAAAAAAAAAGGTATAAGTAGATGAAATTCAAAGGGAGGGACAAAACAACTGGACAAACTACTCTCGAGTCAGTAGTGGTGGTTTACTCACCCTGCTGCTGCTCCTCCTCGGTTCTGCTCACTTCCGGCTGCTGCTGATGCTGCTGCTGGGTATTGTACTCAGCCGGACTGGGTGGCGGAGTGGCCATGTCACCGTCCTTCTTGTCGGAATCAATGCCCAAGATTACACTTTCCCTTCGGATTTGCTGGATTGCTTCGGTGTTGTCCGGTGACGAGGCTGACGACGACGACGAAGTCGACGGTTCCTTGCTAGTTTTTTCGTCGGTTTCGTGTTCTTGCTTTTCCTCCGCCGGCTCGTGGGAGGATTCTATAGCAGGGGGGGTTTAATGTTATAAAATTAAGCAATGTTAATTTCGAAAATCTTCTTACCTTCCATCGAACCTTCCACCGTATTGCACTCTACCCCGTTGATCTTGACCGGATCGACTTCGTCGATTCCGTTGGTCGAACCTAGCTGTTGCTTCGCTAGCTTCCTCTCCCGCTCGTCGGTTACCAGCTCCAGGTTGGTAATCGATTTGCTCACAATATCCGCCCGGTTGATTTTGATCAGTGCTTGCTCCAGCACGTTCCCGGTGGCATCCTTGCCGGCTTGACGCAGCCACAAGCGCAACATCACCACTGCCTGTTGGGCTTCGTCGTTTTCGTATTCTGCCTTGATGAGATCTACATCGGTTGGGGAAATCTGCAGTTCCTCTGCCAGCAGAGGCCAATCCGACCCTAGCAGATTGCAAATGTCGGTGATTTTGATGTCTGCCTTGTGTATGTCGCTTCCAGCATCTCCATTTTGGAAGGTAAAGTTCAATGTTTTGCTTCGGTTGGCAGCATTGACGATTGCCTGTTGGTCAAAGTTCAGAATTTCCGTTGAACTCTGATCGAACTCGGAGCCTGTCTCCATTTCATCTCCACCAAGGCCGTATTTTTCCGGAGGCAGTGTAAAGTTCAGGGTGCATAGCGGTGTGGGAACCGGCTCGCCCTTGGCCACTTTGGGTTCGCTCATGAACGAAATACGACCCAGCAGATCGTCGAGATTGTTTTTGATCTTGACGGTGAAGGTAAGTCGGTTCTCCTTGAAGGCGCTAAACTGAATCGATAGCTGTTCGCCACTCTTCTGCACGGGAACAATATTTCCAGCGAATTCCAAATAAACTACACGACCTTCGCACACTTCCACGTCGCGGGACTTGGCAATCTCCGTAAAGTGCTCCTGATGTTCCAAAGTTTTGTCTTCCTTATCGTCGGTCATGCAGAAAACGCTCAACCTCGCTTCAGTTTGATCAACTCGCTTGGCATACACCACGAACTTCACCATGAACGGAACGTGAGACATTTGCGAGTAAAGATCCGTGGCCATTTTGGTAGCTTCGTTGATGTTGCGACAGTCCATTAACCAAAAGCGAGCCGACACCGTCGTGGTAAACGAAACACATTCGTTGACAAAGGTCAACGGAGTCGACCCGGTAACATCTTCCCAAACGGCTTTGTTCTGACCGCCAGTAATCGAGCAAAGCAATCTCAACGTCGGAGCGTTGCCCGAGTACTGATTGATCATACCGGAATTGTATGCCTTCGGCGCCGGCATACTCAGTGTGATCGCTTTGTGGAACTTGCGCCGTCTGGGTTCAACCGTTACCACCGGTGATACGGCAACGCTTCGGCCGAGTAGATTCGCTGTCGTATTCATATCGATCGGTTGAGCCTGGAGACCAACGCGAATCTTCTTGGTCAGGGCATTCTGCGGGAAGATGGCCTGAACCAGCGGGACAGCTGTAGCGGAAACGGTTCCACCCTCCGGTCCAATGGCGTGCACTTCCTGCCGAATACGGGACACGACCGCAAAGTAATGCGGGAAATCATTCGTCAAAACCCGGGTAATCCGGTTCGTATGCAAATCCTCCAAGAAATTCAAGGTATCGCCCTTGAATGTGTCATTCAGCACATCGTGGATGGCTTCCTCACTGTCGTACAGTGTATGCTCCCTCCAGGTTTCACCGTTATCCGATCGTAGAATAATAATCTCACGTTCCTTCTCGCGCAGCGAGGCAAAGTGTGGAACTTCAATAATTACCGGACTGAAATGTTTGGAAGCAATTAAGGAACTCTTCTAAACACACAGGTGATTCGTTCGACTTACCCCAAAAACTTGGCACCGACCGGGGCCAGTTCCAGAATGCGGCTGACCAGTGCTTCACCTTCCATCAGCGGTGGAGCGTTGGTGATTCGTTGTGGCTTCACGTACCGACAGGTGATCCGCGTCGGTTGGGCAGCCGAACGTGGAGGGACAATAACGCGAACACCGCTGTGGCGACATCCACGCATGGCACCACCCCGGGCATCGACCAGGAACGAAACCAGAAATCTGCAAAATTTTGCCCGCGAATGAACGGAATTCGATTAGTAATGGGTAGTTTCTACTCTGCTGGTGTTGGGCAGCAAAAATCAATTACGTTTTGTTAAATACGATACGAAATGGATGAGCGCACTACTGGAAATGTACGAATGATTAAACTAATAAGCGACGAATAGGAAATGATGATTTACAGACGAAGAAAGATAACTTACAGAACCATAACCACATACACAGGTTACTAACTACAGGATGGTTTAATAAATGAGAATCAAATTGTATTATCCAGGCTTTGCAACTCTGTTAGGCTCTTCTCGGATTGTGGACAAAAATGGTCAAGATGGCGGCCATCGGGCATCGAATATGCATGTGATACCGCGCCATATGAGCATCTTGACGAGTAAGGACTGTATCGAAAAGTAACTTCAAACATTTGGCACGTTGTTTCGCGACAATCATGCTGTATTTTTGAAGCGTATAAGCACCATCGACTTTGTTTACGAGTCAACAATTTAAGTATAAGGTATTGCACCGTCGGGGTTAACCTCAATCGGATGACAGTTCAGTGGTACTGTTTACGTGGACTTAGTCGTGGACTTAGATATTCTCGATAAATTTTAAGATTGGAGTGAGATATAGAGCATATTTCTGCAATTTCCGCGAGCAACATCCTTTCCCCGCGTATATCCTCGACATTTATCAAGTTAAATCCTGATTTTTTTAAATTATTGTATTTGAAAAAAAATTCTAAGTGTATCACTGAACTGTGAAAAAGTTCATTTGTGACGTCACGCTGCAAAACCTAATATTTTATCCCACAGTGGTTCAGAAATGCTATATAACGAATTAATAACTTCAACAAAATTAATAACTTCAAAACGGGTAATTTTAGTGACTGTGTTTTTTTATATAAAAAGCTCCATCTTTTGGTCGAAAAATAATTATACGAAACTTGTACTAAACTGCTATTCAAAACGAATATTTTTAATTATTCATTCCGGAGGTTTAATGTTTTTACGACAATGTTGTTTATTAGTCAAAAATATCAAACTCTTTCGAGGCCGTCAACATTGAACTCCCTTAGTTTTCAAGATATTATTTTTTTTATACTTAACTATGTTTATTTTTCCTCAAAAGTAGTAGTTTTTTATATTTTTTACTGACATATTTCAACTATACTTTAAACTTTTACCGAAAAAAAATAACACTGTTTTGACGCATCGTTTCAAATATATTGAACAAAGACTATTAAATTTGACATAGGGTAGATAGGGACAATATGGTCTCCCTAAGAAAAACACATCATAACACATGAAAAACATTCATAAATGTATGATAGCTGTGATCATGCTCACGCTTCGGAATATTTTTGATAATATGGAAAGGAGGAGCAAAGTGAACAGGTGGGACATAGTGAGCTTCCTGTGATGTTCTTGGATTTCATATGGTTTGAAGCAAATTAATTGGTCAATAATCATTGAAATGGTGATATTGAACCTACTACCAATTAATTTCATTTGAACAATTAGAAGATTGGAACTGGAGTGCGGGATGCTCACTATGCCCCATCTGTTCACTATGCGCCGCTTACCCCTATACAGTGTCCAAAATATGGATAAAATATGATATACTGATTAAATTATTATGTTTGAAAAATATTTCAGTTTTTGCTCCGATCAACAACCATACGGGGCAATATGAGCACCCTAGTAAAAGTTAACGTTTTGACAGGTTTTCGCTAGAAAATAACATTCAGGAATCATGTGAAATAGAGACATAATTTTAGCAACTGTTACGTGTATTGCTCGCTGTAGAACCAGCGGATCGGTAAAATGCATTATAGTGAATGCAATGCTTGTTTTCTTGACTGCATACCTTATAATATTTTAGAGATTTTGAGCTACGCACAAAATCGTACCCCAGAATATTCAGGGCCAATAACATTCAATATTGGATACATACAGAAAAATATCTTTTCATCTAATTCGTGTAATTTACTTAGAAGAAAATTACATAACTGGCAACCTAAATATGGTATTGACGAGCCTGGGCTACAAAATGGTGAGTTGACAACCTGGAAGGAGCGGAATACCTAGCTCTGGTCCTCACAAGTTCCTACTTCACGCCTCACCGAGTCATATGATAACAAAAGACTACCAGCTGAAACGTGGACACAGCTGGGTGGCGTAGCCTGGGCAATGTTGCCAGTCCGGCAATAGCAAAGTGAAGAGGTGCGACGCGAAGAGGAAATGCTTCACCAAACCCGAGCGTCTGTTCACCATGGAGGTGCGGCTCAAAACGGCGTCTGTTCTCCATGTTAGGAGCGACCGAACCGTCCTAGTTCCAGCGTGGGACTCTAAACAGAGCTGTGCACGATGGTCCCCCGGCGAGACAGGAGGTTGGGGTAGGCCCAACAAGCCGCCCTGGAAAAAACATAAAGTTGCAAATACTGAAGAAAGAAATACGGATAGGAACAATCGGCACAGACCTACGCGACGAAATAAGGACTACGATTCGAAACTCGGAACATGGAATTGCAAATCGCTCGGCTTCCCGGGCTGCGATAGGTTAATCTATGACGAACTTCAACCACGCAACTTCGAAGTCGTAGCACTGCAGGAACTTTGCTGGACGGGACAAAAGGTATGGAAAAGCGGGCATCGAGCGGCTACTTTCTACCAGAGCTGTGGCACCACCAACGAGCTGGGAACCGGCTTTGTAGTGCTGGGTAAGATGCGCCAACGCGTGATTGGTTGGCAGCCGATCAACGCGAGGATGTGCAAGTTGAGAATTAAGGGCCGTTTCTTCAACTACAGCATCATTAACGTGCACTGCCCACACGAAGGGAGACCCGACGACGAGAAAGAAGCGTTCTATGCGCAGCTGGAGCAGGTGTACGACGGCTGTTCGCAACGGGACGTCAAAATCGTCATTGGCGACATGAACGCTCAGGTAGGACGGGAGGCAATGTATAGACCGGCAATCGGGCCAAACAGCCTGCATCGAACGACAACGGCCAACGATGCGTGAACTTTGCAGCCTCTCGGGGTATGGTAGTTCGAAGTACCTTTTCCCCCCGCAAGGATATCCACAAAGCCACCTGGAGATCACCTGACCAACACACAGAAAACCAAATCGATCACGTTCTAATCGACGGGAAATTCTTCTCCGACATTGTCAACGTCTGCACGTACCGCAGTGCTAACATAGATTCGGACCACTACCTAGTTGCAGTATGCATGCGCTCAAAACTCTCAACGGTGCATAACACCCGTCGAAGTCGAACGCCGCGAACCTACATTGAGCAACTACGGGACGCCGGAGTTGCCCAGGACTACGCGCAGCAGCTGGAAGTTGCACTACCCACGGAAGAGCAGCTTGGCGCAGCTTCTCTTGAAGATGGCTGGAGAGACATCCGTTCAGCCATAGGTAGTACTGCTGCAGCGGCACTAGGTACTGCATTCCCGGACCGAAGATCTGACTGGTTTGACGGCGAATGCAAACTGTTAATAGAGGAGAAGAATGCAGCACGGGCGAGAATGCTGCAACACCGCACGAGATTGAATGTGGAGCGATACAGACAAGCGCGGAACAGACAAAACTCGGTTTTCCGAAGGAAGAAGCGTCAGCAGGAAGACCGAGATCGCGAGGCGATGGAAAATCTGTACCGCGTAAACGACACACGGAAGTTCTACGAGAAGCTAAATAGTTCACGCAAAGATTACGTGCCGCAAGCCGATATGTGCAAGGACTTGGACGGTAACCTTCTCATGAACGAGTGTGAGGTGATTGAGAGGTGGAAGCAGTACTATGACGAGCACCTCAACGGTGAAGCAGCAGAAAACGAAGGTGGCACGGCAACAGACAAGTTGGATTGCTGCAACTACCGCGCGATTACACTGCTGAGCTATTCTATGCCGCCGTCTGTCACCATTTGCAAGAGAGTTCGTGGGGCAATACCAGGCGGGATTCATGGGTGCCCGCGCTACCACGGACCAAATTTTCGCGATTCGGCAGGTTCTGCAGAAATGCCGCGAATAAAACACATCATTTGTTCATCGATTTCAAATCCGCATACGACACAATCGATCGAGATCAGCTATGGCAGATTATGCACGAGTACGGATTTCCGGACAAACTGACGCGATTGGTCAAGGCGACGATGGATCGAGTGATGTGCGTTGTTCGAGTATCGGGGACACTCTCGAGTCCCTTTGAATCTCGAAGGGGGTTACGGCAGGGTGATGGACTTTCGTGTCTGCTGTTCAACATCGCGTTAGAAGGTGTGATCAGAAGAGCTGGGATAGACACGAGTGGCACGATATTCAGGAAGTCCATCCAGCTCCTTGGCTTCGCCGATGACATTGACATTATGGCACGGAACTTTGAGATGATGGCGGAAACGTGCATCAGACTGAAGGCTGAAACTAGGCGGATTGGACTTGCCATCAACGCATCGAAGACAAAATACATGAAAGGAAGAGGTTCTAGGGAAGACAATGTTAGCCTCCCAGCCCGAGTTCAGATTGACGGTGACGAAATCGAGGTGGTCGATGAGTTCGTGTATTTGGGCTCACTGGTGACCGCCGAAAATGATACCAGCAGAGAAATTCAAAGACGCATTTTGGCAGGGAATCGTGCCTACTTTGGACTCCAGAGGACGCTCCGGTCGAATAAAATTCGCCGCCGCACGAAGTTGACTGTCTACAAGACGCTGATTAGACCGGTGGTCCTCTACGGCCACGAGACCTGGACTATGCTCGTGGAGGACCAACGCGCCCTTGGTGTTTTCGAACGGAAGGTGTTGCGTACCATATACGGTGGAGTGCAGATGGATGACGGAATGTGGAGGAGGCGAATGAACCACGAATTGCACCAGCTGCTGGGAGAACCATCCATGGTCCACATCGCAAAAATTGGGCGACTTCGGTGGGCTGGGCACGTCGTAGGAATGCCGCACGACGACCCAGTGAAAATGGTTCTAGAAAGCGACCCAACAGGAACAAGAAGAAGAGGCGCGCAGCGGGCAAGGTGGATCGACCAAGTAGAAGGTGACCTGCGGACCCTTCGCAGACTACGAGGCTGGCGAACTGTGGCCATGGATCGAGTAGAGTGGAGACGACTTCTTCGGACAGCAGAGGACAACAAGGCCTTAGCCTGATTGGTAAGGTAAGTAAGCATCACTCATCGTGATGCGTGTTTGAGGAAGTCCAGCTTGAGCATCAATCTGAGCTCGAGCTCTTTTGCGCTCTTTGGATTCGACATCATTGCTCTTTATATGTGAGGGATGAACTAGCTCACGATGAATGATCATCTATACGGCATAATCTGAGTTCGAGGAGTTTAGGCAAGCCTGGTTGCGAGATTGAGGTCGTGAGAGTAAATTTTCTCTCTCAAATTTGAATTTTTTGGCTCTCTGGGGACTGGTAGTAAAGCAGGTAAAATTGTATGGGGAAAAATCATTTTAATTTAATTGTAGCTTGTTTAACAATAAATTTCCGGGAAAAACTGAACGACAAAGTCCCAGACTAATTTATTTAGGTAGTCGTTTACTTTTTTGACCTAAATATGCACCGAAAGCGAAGTATTCCCACTTCTCTCAAATTCTATATGGGGATTTGTTATCACTTCCTACTCTGTAGAAAATTAATTATCAAAGTGTATTGAATATAATGGTATATTATTTTGCACGCATCACACATAAATTGTAACGTCATCATTTCAAACCGACATGCATCTGTAAATTATTGTTTTCCTGGATTTGCTTAAACATTCCCGGTTTTTCCTGGTAAAAAAAAATTCCGACATTTTCCTGGTTTTCGTGGTTTACTTGCCACCCTGAAAATTGTGTTGCTTGCTAAAATGCGAATGTTGTAAGGTAGGGAACGAAATGTTTTGATTTTTTGGCAGGCCTGTTCCAGAACGTCGAGAAAAAATGGTCTTATTCATGCTAAGCTTGAACAATTTGTAATATATTGCTTGCTTGTAGAGAATGCTCTGGTAGAAGGTCGTCCCATTAATTAATTTATTTATTAATCCATTTTATTATAATAATCCTCGGAGACTCTGCTTTTCTGCGTTAACTAGAACTAGTTCTCCATTGACACTACAGTGGGTAATGCATTCTTCGATGGTTAGCTGTACTTGAATTCTTGATCCAGCTGAATTGTTCTCAGGATCATAAACAAGACGACAAGAAATAATCGAGCTACTATGGAGCATTACACACGAATTCAATTTAGTATAACTAACGATAAGTTCTGAACGCAAAACGTAACAACGTGTTAAGTAGTCATACAAAAAAACGAAAATCTAAACCATGCAAAAGAAAAAATCAAACTTAGCGAAAACAATGCGGTTTAGTAACTTTAAACAAGTTCACATTCACTCGGCGGCGGTTAGTCTCGACAAGCTGGCAGAAGCTCACACGTGGGAAGGAGGGGCAGGTCACTACGAAGTAGTTAAGATAGAAGCAAAATTAACTCAACCCGTTCCAGGAGGATTTCCCCCCCGGGAACGAATTCTTGACAATATACCTTTCCCTACACAGTGGAAAAAAGTTTTTCTTTTTGCAATAGACCGCTAGACCACCGAGCGACAACGATAGGCTATTACTGCTGCTTGATGGCGATGGCGAAGGTCGGTGGGTGTCCACGGCCGTGGTGGTGGTGGTGGTCGTTGTTGTTGACAGCACGGCGGCGTGTTCGGCAGACGGATTGCAGATGTGTTTCGTTTTTATTTTTCGGGTGCCAATTTGTGTTTTGATTTTGAAACGTAATTTTTCGTATGCGTCCGTGAAAGTTAAAGGGATATTGTCATTCACAGGGGGTGGGGGGTGTCACATTTATACGCGTGTGGAGTAATCGATCGTTCATAACATTGATTAGTGGAAAATATTCCGGGAAGTATTGGCAGTGAGTTGTTATGGTTGTTCCAAATCAAGGTGGTATTAGTCGCACGCGGTTGTTGTTTTTGTGGTTGTTGGGTAATATAGGGGCAGCCAAAACAGCAAACCAAAAACAGTGGGGGGAAAATACGGTTGAAGATATATTTAAAGCGCACGCCATATTTCATTCAGTATTTCATTCACAAGTTTTTGCGTGGTTTGTGTGTGTATGTGTGGTTGAGAGGTTGTAAGGTTGGTGCAAAGGAATGCAAACGGGGAGCATAAGTTGTAGTTGTAGTTTTTTTTTCAGTAGCATATTTTTGGCGTAGGAATCGGATTTGGTGTATTTGGATCGTAAAGAAAGAAAAGAGAGAAAAATAAAGAGGTGAAAAAAAACAATAATTAATCTTATTCGTTCAAAATACACACTATCATTAGTGATTAGTTTAGCCTTTCAAACATTATATTGCGTTTGCATTGCATTGCGCTATGGGTGGTGACGTCTATCTTTAGAGCAGAGTTTGTTCAATATACAGTATTCCCCCCATCGGGGCCACATTGTGGTGATTTTGAAAGAGTTGTTCATCTTGATTTGAAGTTAGATTGTCCTTATGTTGATCATGTTGATAACTCATAATAAAGGTTATTATGGTTTAATTCCCGTAGTTAGTAATGAAAAAAAAAAAACTTTCTCAAATTCACCGCTCTAGCCTTTGAAATTATTGGGATACTAATATTCTCCGTAGAACTTAAAGCTGTAAGAAAACGTCTTTTTCATTCTATTTTTATTGATTATGGGCACGTGATGAAATTTTACGGAATCGGTAAATGTATCAGGTGAGATTACAAGGGTTAATATTTAATAAGCTTGTAAATAATTGTTACAGTAGACAAACTGTGGTCAACTAAATGCTTCTAGTTTTAATCGATGTTTTTGTTTTTTTCAAAATAAACTTGGGTTGTTTTTACGCCCAATTTTTCGCACAAATTGCTCATTTGTCAATAACTCTACACTCACTTGACGAAACATAGAATTTCTTGGAGTAACTGATAGATGAGGGTTTTAAGTTCCGATAGGTACATTAAACAAAGTAGACTTGTATTTAGATGTATTTAGTTGTAGCGTCACAAAAACGAAAAGATAAATAATCACTGCTCATTTCAGACTTTTAATGAAATAACTAAGGCCGGAACAAATATCAACAAAATTTTGGAATATCACCAAGGGAGAAATAAAATAAAACTTTCAGTGTATATTTATTTTTCGCAAATTCATTTGGGTATGGATGCTTGCTTTGCTAGATTTTATTATGTTGTTGTTGTTGTTGTATCACCTTGTTCTTTTAAAGAATTTTCACATAAATTGGTACTTGACCAGTACGGCATGACAGGTCCTTGAAATCGGATCAGCCGGATTCAGTTGTTGAAAACGGATTTTATCGAACATCATTCCTAATCTTGTTTGGCAACTCACTAGGTAAGCCACCTTCAATCTGATCGATCCCTCTTGTTCGTTGCGCACATCTTCGTCTTGTCCCAGTCGGATCACTACAAAGAACCATTTTCAGTGGTTCGTTATCCGACATTATTACGATGTGCCCAGCCCACCGTAGTCGTCCGATTTTTGCATTCGATCTACATTTCTTAACTTACAAACCTTCTGCAATGATACTTAATGATTCACTTCTTTTCTACAGTGATTCAACAATTTCCGAGCTAAATCCAATCTTTTCAAAATCAGAAACGATTCAGGAAATTCCTAACTGAGGTGACACTTTTCAAAGCAGATTCAAAACTGAGTCTGAACTTTTTTGAAGAGAGTTCAAACTTTCGAATAAGTCATCAATATTTTTCTAACTGAGTCTAAACTTTTCTGTTATGTTATTCAATAATATTCATAACTTTCCTGAAGTGATTCAACATATTCCAAATCCAATCTTTAAAGAATTGGTTTCGCATTTTCTGAAGTGAGGCAACATTAACTGATTAATCCTTTTCCTAAATGAATCCAAGGTTTTCTGCATTGATTCAACTTTTTCCGAACTGAACCAAACTAGTCAGAACGGGTTTTATATTTTCCTAAGTGAGCTCCAGATTTTTGTTAACTGCTTTGGCATTTGGCAAGGACACAATCTTGCTTAGTGATAGTGTAGAAAGTTTTACGAAGTGAACCGACAATTTATTGAGCATAAATTTTCCAAATGGTGTCCAACCTTTTCTGAAGTGGTTTGAAACCTTCCTTAGGGAGTCCAAACTTTTCTGTTGAGTGATTGAATTATATTGAATGTTAGCGAAGACTACAAATCAATAAGACTGGCAACTCTGCCAAAAATCAGGAGACAGTAACGGCAACGCCTCTTCTGAGCAAAAGTGGAACCTGTGTATGATGGTGTGTGTTAATTCACGAGTGCATTCACACACATAGGTAGAAATAATTAGCTGTCTATTATTGGTTTTGTTATGAATATCGTAAAAAGTGAAACGTTTCTTTTTTTGCTTTATGCTGACAACGAGTAAAATTCCAGCTGAAATTGAACAAATGCGTTGGTAGATTTGATTTGAAAATTGAAACTACGGCAATGATGTCATTTACAATATGAGGTAGGTTGAATTTTCAGCAGCTTCCCAATGATGGTAGTTCACTCAATGGTGATGGAAACTGCCAATTCGTTGTAATTGATTGCTTCCAACAGGCAAAATAAACAGTATTTCGATTCCTCGTTCACAAGTAAAAGTTATTTTCACTAGGTATCGATCCAAGTTTCAATCCTCTACTTGATCCACCATGGCAAGTTTTTCGGGTTGAAGTTGGAAAACCTTCGGCTTGCTGGGATTAGGATACAAATTGCCTTGAAATTTTGTAGAGCAAAACAAAAACAACAACGAGTACCGTGTTATGATTAGTCGTTTCGATGACATTAGGTCACACACAGTTACTGTTTATGAGCTGTCTCACTAACACTTGTGCTTCAAAGTTCCACCTTTGATTGCTGTTATGTTTGCCGCTGTTATCAGTGACGTTTGACATTTGTATGGGAGAAGGGAACAGTCGCCAGTCTTCTTGATTTGTAGTCTTCGATGTTAGTCTGAGCTTTCCTGAAGTGATTTACCTAACTTTTAACGTAGATTCCGCTGCCTTAGATCCCTTCCTCGTTCTTGTGAGATTCACATCCTTTGAAAATTAGGCTGAGATTTTAAAGAATGGACCTTTGTGTGTTCATACCTGATGGTAGATTTTTTTAAAGCAAGCACAATTGTTGAGAAAACTGGGTTTACCTCCACCAAAGTACTTATTTTTATAGAAATTTGGGTTTCTTGATCAGCCAAGTTGGATTTTGGCTCCGTCCTTTGAAAAACAGGCTTGGATGTTATGGAATAGACCTTTGTGAGTTCATACATGATGGTAGATTTGCCAGGTTGGATTTCGGTTCAATCTTTTGAAATTTGAATCCATACGTAAGGGTTGAATTTCTTCAATTTTTGAGAATACACTGGAGTCGCTTTTTAAAAAAAAACCGCGTAAAAAGCGACTCTAGTGTATAACGATAAACCGCGTAAATTCTGAAATTCGCGTAAAAAAAACCGCGTAAAAACAACCGTGTAAAAAAACCGCGTAAAAAGCGACTCCAGTGTACCGTGAATTTAAAACAAAAGTACGTATTTTCATAAAAACTTTGATTTTATGTTCTGCCAAGTTGAATTTTGGCTCCGATCTTTATAAATAGACTTGAATTTTATAGAATAAACTTTGCTGAATCCATACGTTATGGTAAATTTTTTGAAGCATGCACAATTTTTTAGAAAACTGGGTTTGAATTCTCAAAAGTACGTATTTTTATAGAAATTTGGGTTTCTTGTTCAGCCAAGTTGAGTTTCGCCTCCTTCCTTTGAAAAATAGGAGTGGATTTTACCGAATTGCTGAATCCATCCGTATTTTCATAGAAATTTGATTTTTCGGTTCTGCCAAATTGCATTTTGGCTCATATTTTTGAAAAATAGGCTTGTATTTTATAGAATGGACCTTGCTGAATCCATACGTGAAGGTTGAACCGGGTTTGTAATTCGAAAAGGTTTTTTTTTGTTTTCCTTTTCTGCTAAGTTGGATTTTGATACTGTCCTTAGAAAGTTATGCTTAGATTTTATAGAATTGACCTTGCTGAATTCATATGTGATGATTATTGTTTTAAGCAAACACAAATCCAGGTTTAAATTGACAAAACTACGGATTTTTGTTAAAATTTGGTTTTTATGTTCAGCCAAGATGGATTTTGGCTCCTTTCTTTGAATATTACGCTTGGATTTTGTTGAATAGACCTTCCTGAATCCATACGTCTAGTTAGATTTTTTGAAGCACGAACAATTGTTGAGAAAACGGGGTAAAATTTGATAGGGAGGCAGTATCGAAAACAGAACGTTTTTTTTTTCATAAGAACTGTTACGTTTGTGGTTTATCCGGAATTTATCAATACCCAAAAATCAATTGCTTTGATCCTATTCATCTACATCATTACCAATGTTCTTCCTTGAAAGGGTAAAAAAAACTTATGCGAGAAATGTTTTGTTGATAACTCGAGTGTTACACATAATAAAGTCGACATTTGTGGAATTAAAGGGTGATACGGTCAAAATTTGGTCAATATCAACTTGACGTATTTCTTTCAATTTTGCATTTAAAAAACCTGAACACCCCTCATTTTGAAGGTGTGTGTGTGTAGAATGTTGCTCCTATTT